GTAAGATAGAGAGCTGTCAATTCAATCCGCACTTATGCGATGCAAGAGCGCTTCACTAGAAGACCTTTGGACAATTGTACTCAAGGTATCTTGATCCCCCATTTTGAGACCCAATTCTGTGTGTAAGCTTTTATACGTCAGCAATCACAAGTCAGGGAAGACCAAAACTCTGACAATTAGGGGACGGACGGAGTCATAGTGGGCATAATTTCAGAAGGCAGATGTTGTTAGCATGCGACAGGTATCGAAAATCTTTCATATTAAAAATAAGGTTACAATTGCCGCCAACTCTCTCCGCTGTGAGTCCGAGAACTATATCACAGCCTGCCTCTGAAAATCACTCATGCCCATATCATAGAGCCTAGGAATAACGCCTCTCTTTTTCCTGCCAGCTCAGCGGTATGGCCTCGCCAACAGTTCCGAAACTCACAAAACCTGTCTCCTCCGTAGGCCTGATGTCGCCGATGCAGACCCGAATGCTCTTTGTCCTCTTTACCTGACTGATTCCGTCTTCCAGCGAGCTCTGTTGAGCCACATTTACGTAGGGACTGCCTCTCAGGAAGAAAGTGGCACGGTCAAAAACATCAGGCCCACGCCTCAAGTAGCCGAAGATGCTGGCTGCTATAGCCGAAGCGAGCATGATTGCAGAGGCGATGAACAAAATCGCAATCCAAAGTCCACTGACCCGCATCACCCAGCGGTCCGGTGATCTTATCCCAGTAATATTTCGGACGACTATGGTCTCGTATTGTGGCAGCATATTGTACGTTTGAAAGTTGAAGTTTCCGGTGATGTTGCGAGATGCCACTGACGAAAGCCAGAAAGTGTTGAGAAGTTGGGAAACCCTTTGCGAGAACACCACGTCTCCGACTTGGTAAATGTCAACTCCCTGATAATTCTCATGGCCAATACCAGGAGGGGCAAAAGGCGTTCCTGGGTGGGTGAAGTACGTTTCCAACGGTGAAGAGTTCAGTTCATGCTGCTTCCCGATTTCCCAGCTCGTGAGGGCAGACCGGATAAATGTTGCCATAAAATGATCGAAAGGTTTCGTTCTCAGCTCCTTTTCGGATCCTTCCGCCTTTATACCATCAAGTACTGTTGCCACTGTTGTGTTATGCGGCTTCTCTATTCGTCGAACACGACGAGCACCACAAACAGGCCCGTTGCAGGCTATGTCAACCTCGGCATGCGTAGTTGTCAAAATGCATGTAGCGTTGGTGGTCTTCTGGTCTTGTGGGTAATACGAGATAATTATCAGTTCCAGTGGTATCTTATCCAACGCATTATGGATTCTGCTGGGCCTAATGATAAGAGTTTTTTGGGTGGTGTATCCCCAGGTGATATTCACTAGATCGAGCCATTCCGAAACGTTCAATGATGGTCCGCGCGAAACAGAGCATTCTGCGCTCATGTAAGAAGTATTGAGAGCAAACGAATAGTTATACCCTTGAGACAAACCTTCCAGAGCGGCTACAGGTATGCCCATGATCGATGACCAGGTGACGCCGGCACCGTCAAGACTGACATCATGCCAGCCACCAGCATGAGTTGTTATTTGCTTTTGATAATGCTCAATCATCGGGATCTTGACGTTTCCAAACAAGTCTCGGGGCCTTGCCTTAATGTCTTCTGGGCTAGTCAACGCTGAGAGGAAGGACCCTTGAATGGAAGGCATTAAGCTATCTCCCGCCGAGCTACTCCCCCCAGAGTGTGGAAAGACGGACGCGAATTCGAGACACTCAAAAGGCCAGGGCTCTGAGACATCAGAAGGAACCACGTCCATGATACGTAGGGCCGCCTGTCCACCAAGGGGCGACATGCCCCAGAAGACAATCAGCAGCGGCGTCAGAATACTCGCACGTCGCAGCGAGAGAGGCGTCATAAGGGCGCCGAAGACAGTACGGCAACTGAGCAGGTATTCCAGGCTGAGGATGGTGACGCCACGTTCCATTTTCCAACTGGCTGCACCCTTCAATAAGCTGGCGGCAACGGCGGAGAACGCGATGGGGAACACTGTTGGGCTGTATGTCGCGGCAATGCGTAACGCCCGAACCGGGTCCTCGTCGATTGGCCGACCATTGTTTTTGATCGCGACGATTCCGTAGCAGATGAAGCATAGAGAGGGAACTATCAGAAGCGTATCGAAGAGGAACTGCTGAATCGTGCCGGAGGAGTCTCTTCTCCTGATGCCTTGGGTTGTATCCAGTTTAGCTGTGGAACTCATCTCTCCGTCACTGCTCCGGTCCATAAGATCGTCGAAAGCGCTAGCTTCGGGGTTTTCAGGTGCCAAAGGGGAAATGACGGATATTGACTGCCCCCTTGATGTTGAAACTTCGGGCGCATCGTAAGTGTCTGAACGTCGAGCCATTACATTAACCTTCTCCCCACTCTGTTACTAGAGCGCAGTAACGAAGTTGTTAAGCAAGAGCCCATTGGCTGACGTCTTCGTGGTTTAGCTGGCTAAACGATCGCCAACAGTGATATCAAGGCCTTTCAAACGTTGAAAAAGAAGGGCAGAAAGGGGGTCGTGCTTTTAGATATCTGCTGACACCGGTTCTAGAGGCCGCCTGATTTTCCTGTGAGCTGGATTTTTGGCAGCCATCAGGCAAGACATGTTTTGGCTGCCTTGTCTCTGTTGTGTTCACCTAGGGGCTTGGCATCTTTGTACCGATACCAGCATTGCCCACTTACGTCTCTTTACTCAGCATTTGGACGTCTTTTCCTCCGAGTCTCTTTCTGAGTCATTGTTTACGCCCTTAATCGACTAACGATTGGTCCCCAAATTCATGCTAAGACCAACCAAATTCTCACCTGTCTTAGAAGTTGGACAAACCAACTATGATACCCAGCTGATGTGGCTGCTGCGTTCTAAAAATACTGTGAGAAGTATATGCACAGGGAAGCACCGCAGAAGACATTATGGGGCTCGGTCTTTTCTTGGAATGCTTTGCCTTCTTGTCTGATTGCTGCGGTCCGTAGGTCGTTCTGCCTCCAAAACTAGCGTTGTTGACATAGCTATATACACAAGAAAGCATTTATCGAGAAACGCAAGCGTGATGATGAAGTTTAAAGTGCCTACCATAATCTATGAAAGTTCACATCACTTTAATGCGGAAACACTTGAGTATTACGGCAGAAAGGGCTTCACTCGTTCCCCGGAGAGAACATTGTAGAACAGATGTTGAATGAGGTTTCATGGTTTCAACAGTCTGCAATGTAGCCGAAAAAAAATGGTTATGTTGCCAAAACTTCATAGCTTGTCAATCAGAGGTTGATATATCAAGACTCAGAATGATTCGACTCCCAGGAAGCTTCAAAGCTCAACCAAAGCCCCCGCAAACAGACAAGGACAACCATGGCGACACATGAAGACACTGCAAGCCCGCCCCTCCCATTTCCCCCTCGGACCAACGACGCCGATTTTATTGTACGGCTTCCTGAGTCTGCCATTGCGGTCTGCGCCCGCATCAATACCCGATTTCCTAGAAGGCATAGTCACGTATGAAGGAGAGGCCGTTTGCCAGGACGCGCGGCTTCTACCCCTCCTCCCAGTTTATGCATCCTGTACATTCCGTTAAGTGCTCTTGAGTGCCAGCCAGTCGCTCTCCGTTCCCGTATTGTCATTCCCGCTGTTCTTTCCTGTGACCTGTTCACTCGTGGTCGCAGAACAAGGCTTTTGCATCTGCATCGTCTTTGCGGCATCAATTTTTTTATTAGTTTTCTTCGAATTTGACGACACTTGGTACGTGGTGCGTATCAATACCAGTGGTTGACTGGATAGTTATTAGCCATGGAGCATGAACAGATATGTTGATGGAGGAGTTACGTCTCTTCAACAAAATGGATTATCTGGAAGTCATTAGAATAGACACAAGAGGTGAGTAATTCGTATGATGTACGTGTGGTGCAGAACCCGGCTGGCGCTTCATCGGACACTGCCGACAGGTTCATATGGTGACTGTGCCTGTTGCATGTTTACATTTGGCCTCCGCCGCGGTCCGCGTTGTCATTTCGCAGTTATTATGATTACCGTTCGGGCGGAACGCGACAGTGAGAGAGAAAACGTTGTTTATGTCGATGTTATTCTAGTGCCGGTGGGCCATCCCGCCATACACTAAACGGCATAGCCATTCTGGCACTAGTAACAAGGCAGCGTCGGCTTGTGGTATTGCAAGGAACATCATCCTTAACCTTAACTTCAAGCAATCCTCGGTATGCTTAAAGATTCCGAACGCGATTCGTTCTCTTCTCTCCTAACACCCACCTGCATCACGTGCCTGCCCATGAGGCCTCTGGTCGACCATCTTGCAAAGCGTGCGTGCATCAGCCCGTGTCTCTTGACCAACGTCTTCACGACCTCGAGCAAATGTGTAATTACTCATCAACTCAATGTCATTGCAGTCATGTGCGAATGGTTGTTGGCCAAGCTGCCATCGTCAGTTGTGACCCTTACCTCTACCCTATCCAGGATGATATTCCCCATGGACCCCTAGGCTCCGACCGTCCTCGGATGTTGGCAGGCCATCAAGGCCCGAAGCCCCGGCCCCAAGCATCATTGCCTCGTCCAGTGAGAGAGTTCGACCGCCCCCTCTCGGGTCGCATCCCGTCGGCGGCCAGTGCCATGATCCCACAGCGGCATTAGCGGGAGCTTGAAGGTGAAACGGCGCCAGAGCTCCCTGCAAACCACCCCATCGATCCCCGGCACGGGCCAATGAGGGCATGCCCTTTAATCAGCTAACCTTTCCCCTTCACCCCACGCCGCGGTACTCTCTACTCTGGATGCAAGAGCTGCTCGAGCATTCGACCAAGCTTCCCCCTAGCATTCCAAAAGACCCAATCCGAACGTGTCGCTGCAACTTTGCGTTTGTCACGCAACCCCGACTCTCGATCCCCTCAATCAGGGCCAAAAGACGTCAGCGAATCGTACGACTTTCCCCTCCCAACCGGTATATCAGTTGCACCATTCGCTCCATTCCAAGGCCGGCTGCCGTCCTCCCAAAATGGCCGGATATCTGTTGCTTGTGATCCCAAGCATTCTCATGAGCTTACTGGTCTCGAGAGCACCGTTCATGATGACCACCACACCGCAGACGACGAGGCCTTGGGCCGACGGACCCATGAAGCTCATCACAACGCCGCAGTATGAGACAAAGAAGGTTGGTGATTCGCACCCGACTCATATGCATGTGACGCCAATTGGCTCCACTCGTAGATGCTCGAACTGACTGGCTTTTCGATAGACCGACCTCTTTACGCTAGGCTCTACTCACATGGCCCTGCTGCACAACTCGATCCTGCGAGGTTACAATTCCATCTACCAGCAAGCACCGTACATCCAGGAGGCCGACAAGGCCGATTTCATCGGATACTCCCAGACCTGGTACAAGTTCGTCAAGTCGCACCATGATGATGAGGAGGAGTCCCTCTTCACCAAGGTTGAGGAACTCCTGAACGACAAGAATGTCTTTACAGAGACGCACAAAGAGCACGGTACGTACCTGTATCTTCCACAGGATTTTGACAAATTCAACTGACGAGAAACTTGCAGAGTCCTTCCTGAACGGCCTCGCCGACTTCAACAAGTACCTTACGACGCTGTCCTCGCCGTCTGACTTCTCCGGCGCCAAGCTGCTCGACATCATGAAGGACTTCCAGGAGCCGTTCGAGAGCCACTTCCACAGCGAGATTAGCACCATTGCCGGCCTGGCGGAACACCCGAACGCGCCGAAGGAGGGGACCCCGGAGGCGGCGAATGCGACCTTGACGTTCAAGACGTGGGGCAAGAGCACCGTCACCAAGGCGGGCACTGCGGACGTTGTACCGTTCTTCCTGCTGAACCTGGACCGGACAGCGGAGGACGGGCTGTGGGCGAACTGGCCGCCCATGCCGGCGCCGATCAAGTGGGGTCTAATCAACATCGCGGGTGCGTGGCACTGGGGATGGTGGAAGTTTGCCAGCTGCGATGCGGCCGGCCAACCGAGGGAGCTGTATGCGCTGGGGTCTTCCAATGCGGAGGACAAGACCAAGGCTGAGCTTTAGGATTTTTCGAATTGCATTGCTGTGGTTCGTGGTTCGTGGTTCGTGGCCCGTGGGACGACGGCACGGCGTTTGAGGGAGTTTGGGACCTGGGTACTCGTAAGAGAAATATTGCGGCGAGCACAAAAGAGTTAGATTCTTCATTTTGATTGCTGGACGCCCGCTGGAAGTCCCTCGCGAAAAATGTCGCCAGCGTCCAATTCGGAACTCGTCCTGAATAGAAACAAACAGGGAGGCCCCCATTCGGCAGCGGGGGCCACTTGGCGGCCACAAGCCGAGCGATTGTTGTCGGGGTCGAGGTAGGGTTGGCCGCAGCTACAAGCGGGCGTAAGAGCCAGACACCAACGAGTCGACGAAATTGCCAGCTGGACGCTAGACTTGGAGATGCAGCAGGCTTCCCTGCCGGCCTCATTTCTACGCTCTTGGCACCAAGCGCCGTTGTCTGATCCCTTGACCAAATGCTCTTTTCATAGAACAGCAAGCAGAAACATGCACCAGATTTCAGTGTATAATATGTCGTTGGCCAAGAAAGCCGGAATACGATGGAGTACCTGGCAGCGGTGCGATGGTGGCCGCTGGTGCCCAGCGATGAGGCTTCCACCAACGGGTTGCAGCGAGCAATTTGGAGAGGCGAGGCGAGCTGCAATGCGACGCAACGACGGCGGCCGATGTAGACTGTAAATTGCAGATGCAGACGCACCGCGCCGGGGCGGCGGAACCCTCGTCTCTTCTTCCAATGGACGGCCAAGATGATTTGGGGCTCTGTGTTTCTTGCCGGCCAACAGCTCAGACTCCGTTCCACACCGTAGCGAAGTATTGGAAGACGTGCGGGTCAGCAGGCGTCGGGTGGTTCACAGTCCAAATCTTTCGCAAACCTTCTCAAAATTCCACGGGGTCGATTGAAGACGTCGCCGGTGTCTTTTGGCTGATTCCACCACATCGGCCGATTGAGCCTTGTGGCCGCTATCCCCAATGTCGGATCCAATGGGACTCTGGGGTTTTCGGGAGGCGCAGCCTGAGTCTGCGTTACGACAACCGGCTCCGCGTAGTTAAATCGGATGGCGCTCAACATGCCGGTTGTCGTACAAGCCAAACACGACGGCAGATGGGCGTACGAGGGATCTCTTCGGGAGATGGCTCACCGTCAGTTGGGAGTCATGGTAGCGAGACCGGGGAAAGCTCATGGGTGCCATCTTTGCGCTGTACGACGGGTAGGTCGACCTTCTCTTTCGCGATGACCAGCCCGACGCTGGACAGGGCCAGATCCCTGAGGCGGGACATCGGGTAATTATGCATTGGTCACTCCACCTGTCCGCTCATCAGCACCACGGTGGTATCTTACCGGTGGTGTCTTCCTGGAAAACGAGAATAGTGTTGCCTTATCCCACCTTGTGCTTCTGGGTCTCAAGGGGCATCCGGACTTGCAGCAGCGGGGAATGGGACCTGCCCGTTGCAACTGCGCTTGGAGGTCTGAGGAAGTACGAATAAGCTAAACAGGGCAACGCCGAGTTGCTACAGCAGGGCTCAGCAGGTGGCGGGAGCCATAGTGAAGAGTAAGACATAGGGGTGAGAATGTAGTACTTAGGAAATGGAGCCACTCGGCGAAGAAGTCGGGGGTTGGAGCTGGGAAACCTTGGGGAGGTGTCGTGCAGGAATCAGAGAAATCAGACGTGGGGTGGAGAGAGGAAGGAGGAGCCGGGCTGGGGGTCATTGATGGTTCGTGCCATTTGCGGCATGTCATTGGGTGTTGGACATCATAAACTTGCTCAAACACACGCAGGATGCGTGATGCAGAGGCAGGCAGGAAGCGATAGCGGATTCTTGGCGGCAGGAGAGAGCTGGTTTTTTGGGTTTTTTTTTTTTGGTCTTTGGTTTGTTCCGCTCTCGACGCGCCTTCCATATGTGCTCTTTCTCGAGGTACGTATGGTACTTACACCGTACCACAAACAAAACATACAATACGAGAAGGGAAGGCACCTGCCACAGAGGCAGCAGAAAAGCCACGCCTAGAGTAGCTGAGATAGTGTCATGAAAGGATATGATTATTGAAATAGCACTTGAAAATGACAGACACAAGAGATGTCGGCTTTACCGCCCATTCTCCCAGGATCGCCAACACCTGGTACGTGCCTTAAAGTTCAAGTCAAGGACCTCGTCAAGTGGAGTCCGTCATCTGATAACCATCGGCCACATCCTCGTCTCTGCATTTACGCCCCATCCGCCAGCGTACCACCAACCACAGGGAAAAAGAACTTGAAAATGGCTGCCGAATGTATACACTACTGGGACTATACCCTTGTTTGCCTCTCGGGAAGGAATCTAGCGCGAACCCGTGTCTGTATTTGTCTCCCATGGAAATCTAGCGCAAAGTGGATCCCTCACGCCCCAAGGTTCTTCCCATCGCGGCAGTAAGGTAAGAAGGTCTCTTCTGTTACCCTGTGGGCTCGCCATATATAATTCTCCCCGTAACACCCTGACTCTAAAACTCTATCTTGTCTTTTCTTCTCCAGCACCGCTCCCCAATCGACGGCATACAGGCAGAAGCGCTTCCGTTAGTTCCGATCCGACTGTTGGTTCCCGGTCTCAAGACTCCATCTCCAATACTTGGATATCACGACGTCTAATACATCCCTTACAACTTATACTCGACATCCCACTTGAGCAACGATGGATCACGGCGACATGACTATGGCCACTACCACGGCTGCCATGGCTGCCACCGGCACCATGAACATGCCTGCAGCCACCAGCAGCAAGGCCGCCATGTCCATGGGAGGCAGCGGCTGCAAGATTTCTGTAAGTAGTTGACACCTGATACGAAGGCACCGCCAATGCTCTCTAAAACGCGGCAGCAGTAACAACAGCTAACACTCTCTTCTTAGATGCTGTGGAACTACAACACGGTCGGATCGTAAGCAACATCGTCACGGACTCAATAGAACTACGTACTAACAGCCTGCCCACAGTTGCTTCATCAGCAGCTCCTGGAAGATTACCTCCAACGGCATGTTCGCCGGCTCCCTCATCGGTGTCATCCTCCTCGTCATGCTCCTCGAGTTCCTCCGCCGCGCCGTCAAGGAGTACGACCGATACCTCATCCGCACCCACAGGGCCCGCTACGCCGATGCTGGCGCCGTCTCCCCTAGCTCCGCCAGCGCTGACGACCACGGCAAGGGTCCCTCTGCCTCCACCGCCGCCGTCCGTTCCAACGCCATCCCCCCGTTCCGACCCAACGTTTTCCAGCAGGCTGTCCGCGCTCTTATCCATGTCTGCCAGTTCGCCGTCGCCTACTTCGTCATGCTGTAAGTCATCTAAAACTTGACGTTCCACTGCGCATGGAACTCTGCTGACTCTTGTCCTTCCATAGGCTCGCCATGTACTACAACGGCTACATGATCATCTGCATATTTATCGGTTCCTACATCGGCGCCTTCCTCTTCCAGTGGGAGACTCTGTTTGATGAGCCCACCAGCGCCGCCAAAGAGGCTACCGTCTGCTGCGGTTGAACATGGAAATTTGCATGAATTGAAGTTCCAAAATACCAAAAGACAACGGCAATTAAGATGAATCGTATTACTATACTCCACGCAACTATGAGTTGCCTCGACACCTCTACTTTTAATCCGCCGTTAGTAATACGAAGACCAATCCAATAAGAATGCGGCATTTTGACCCAGAATATTGTACCGCACCTTGTATTCGTGTAGAAGAATCGTCACTGGCCAAGTATAGATTGATGAGGTTCGTTCGCGCTCGAGGATTACAAACATTCTGATCAATTACAAAGAGCTATAGATAGCTGAGGGTATGGGATATCCTGGCTTCCGATCAAGGGCATTCAAAACAAGACCTGAAGGAGCCTGGTCAATAACAGGAGCTTGGAAAAACTTGCTCATTGTGGACAGGTATGGCAGAGAAACGTAATATGAGGAGAGTGAGAAGGGACCGGAACTATAAATTCAAGATACCAAAGAATAGGAGGGTGACAAATAATCATGTTAGTTTAGTTTAGTTTGTCCTATTTTTAGGGCGTGAGGCCTCAGTGATCTTACAAACCTCTTATGCCTAAACTCAACAGTTGCCACGTTTTTAAAGTGAGGTGTTATCATGTTGACCATTGCTATGTTCAGGGAAATCGCGAAGGCGAATCCCACAAGCCTCATCCGCATTGATAGGGTGGGTAGTAATTCTCTAAGAGCATATATTTAAGACAAGTTTAAGAGATTGAAAGAGAAGTGAACTTTCAAACTAAGAGACCGCCGCCTTGTGCCCAGCCTGATGAAAGCTCTGGCCTACCTCGAGAAGGCTCTTGAGGCGAACAGTGAGGATAGTTTTGCCCTGTGGTATTCGCGAGAGCCTCGATTGAAGACCTCATCCGTGGCAGCATTGCACTACACTTAGGCTGACTTTATCAAGGTCAGGTACTTAGTTCAATCAACAGCAGAATAACGAGCATCTGATCAGTGTATTTGCTTGGTAGTAAGTGTAGCCTCCTAGGTACACAGAAGATCTACGTAAACGAGTGGGATTCATCTCCCATAGAGCAATCTTGGGCTTCATGTACCGCTGCAGCAAGCAACTAACATGCTATGTCAATTCTACGCTGTTAAAGTGATTTTAAGCTTGAATTCGGAGCTTTGCGCAAGTGACATCGTCGTCCTGGTGGACGTTGCGGATTCCAGTAGAGACGTTAGCCTAAGATAGGCGGCGGCCGAATACAATTGCGGCGCGGTGAAGCAACACATGTCAAGGCAAATGATGTGTGCCCAGACCGCTGGTTAGAATGTGTTCAGCCGCTCTTTGAAAACACAAATTTTAAAAGCTAGTCGTTCTTGCATAGATTCAAAATTGTGTCTGTTGGGGCCAAGATAATCGTAGTGTCACTTCGAAGCGAAGAGGTTTCTGTCTTCATCACATTATGTGTTCGACATTGGGAGAGGGGCATATGCTTTTCTCAATAGAACTATCTGCTTGGTGCTTGTTGTAATTATTTTACAAAACGGTCTGGGCATAACGTCGCTTTTGGTTCATCCAAGACACAACCGAACGGGAGCCTCAGCGACTGCATACTTTGACTACGCTATCTAAGCCTTTGCCGAGCCACTCAATGGAAACAAGGATTGCACAGTACTACCTTGAGGGGTTTTCGATGGGCTTGCCGCTGGTGTGACAAAGATCGAACTTGAAGGTGTGGCAGTGCCGGCAGGAGCTGGCGAAGAAGTCGAGCTCAGACTTGCGGAGCCTCCGCCTGAGCTTGTAGACGTGGTACTAGTACCTAGCCAAGAACTCGATTCAATGCTACTCTTAAACCTACCTGAGTTTGTGGACTTGCCAACAGCAGCCGTCGACGGAAATGGCTCTTTAGTGCCAAAGATTCCTCCAGACTGTGCGGTTGTTCCAGCAGGAATAATGAACGGGTTACTTTTCGAACTTGGAATGGTGCTGAACATTGTGGCCGAATCCTGCTTTTCGGAGGGTTTTGAGAAAATACTGGACGAGGGACTGTTGGCCGTCGGTATCCAAGTGCTACCGAACAATCCAGTTTTACCGTTGGAAGGGTTGTTGTCCAATGCCTTCGTTGTCGGTGAGGCATCGGTTCTGAATATCGGGACTTCAGAAGATCCCTTACTTGTCGAAGTCTTTGAGGAGGAGCCCGTGCTGTTCTGGGCTTCGTGAATCCCCTGGCCCGTCGGCAGTATAGGTTGTTTTTCTTTCGAGCTAGTACGTCCAGGTGAAGAAGTTGGGGCAGTATTTTCTCGTGGTTCCGATGCCAAGGATTTCGGCGCGTTTGAAGCTTTTTCAGTGACAGATTTATTGGAAAGTTGGCCTGGAGGCCCCTTGGAGGTATGTGACGGGTCGGGAGAGTGAACTGTGAAGGGGTCGGCAATGGTCAGTCTAGTCATATCATACAGCACTGGTCACACTCACCAACGGCAACTCTAGGCTTGTACCGACGACATTGCTCATGGCCTTTCTTGAGCAGTGTTATATCCTGCTGGAGTTGTGCCCGGTGTTGGCGAACTTCATCGGACTCTGCCGCCAGTTCTGCCAGCCTGGCATCACTCATGCGGTTTACATCCTTGGGGGTAAGAATTGAAGGCAGCTCACGGATGAGGCAGCTCTCTATCGCAAGGTTGATTAGGTTGTCTGTGAATGTCCGTAACGCCATCTGAGAAAAAGTCAACATTATCGTCTCTGGCATGTGCAAGGAAAGAGAGTGAATGGGTTCTTACATCGTAAAATGTCTGCATCGTGTCGATTATGCGGTCTGTCCCGAATTCCTTGCTGCTTTGTGGTTCGCTGGTTCGCGGAGGAGAGAATGAAGCATTGTCCACCCATTCAGCTTGGCCGACAGTGCGCTCAGCAATTCTGCTCTCCATGGCCTCTTGAAAATCGATGTCGAGTGGCATCGCGTAACCTTGCTTGAATGGTCGTAAAAGCTCTTGTACCTTGGCTGCCAGAAGTTCATCCTTTGCGTCGAAGAAGGAATCCACGCAGGTAGATAAGATGGCGTCGGTTGTGCTACTTTTGCCGGATGAGCCGATGACATGCTCAAAAATCTGGTCCACAAACACTTTGGCAGCGACTGTGACATGACCAACATGCTTTTCAGCAATATATCTCCATGGCTCTGACTGCTTCTGGAAGAGCTGGATCATAAGATCCATGTTGGCGTATCCTGGAAACTCGGTACCCTGGTTATCGGCAGCCTGCCGCTCCAGCTGGGCAGCCAGCTCAGTCCAAGTAATGACTTCCGGGGTACGAAGGTTGTACTGATGTGCATTGATAAAGTCTTCGAGGTAATCAGGAATAGTGTGTTGCCGCCGTACGTGGTCGAAGGATTGAATTATTTGTTGGTTCGCACCCTGAACGAGCAAAACTTGTCGGATCGCTCTGTTGAAGTTTCGCAGCTGAGATCGGAACTTCCGTTGAGTCCCCTCGAGTCCGCCAAAGAAAGGGTCTTTATAATGACCTTCGATGCCGTCGCGAACCAGCCTTTGGAAGCTCCCCGCGATGTCTATGAGGTAGGCTCTCATATCAGCTGGAGTAGACCGGGAGTGTCCTAGCTGCTTGAGCTCGCGTTCTCGCTCCGTGAGTTTGATTTGAATATCATCAATGACTGTTGGGAGGTCTTGTTTGAAGTGCGAGAGAAGAATCTGGCTGAGCTTCTTTCGGAGGGCAGCGACACCTCGGTTCGCTGTGGAAATCGATGCCCAGGCTCCTGAGTTGAGGAACTGTTCCTCAACTTCGTCTCGGGTGCCGACGTCTTTCTCGTGATCCGCCTGGTTGCGCAGCACGTGCCAGCCGAGAGAGAGATTGTGAAACGTCTCACGGCCTCTGATAACTTGGAGGTACTCTTGCTCGTTCGACGAGCCGGGATGGAGAAGATCAGGTTTGGTGATGACCCCAAGCGTGCGCTTTTTGGCTGGATCAAATTCTGAAGCCTCCTGCAGGACGGCTTGGTTGACGAGAAGGTTATTGGCGGAAACGATTGCCAAAATGATGCTGTTTTCCTTCTTCATGTAGCTCCTCACTAAATTCATGACAGTCGCTTTGCCCTCGTCTGATTGCTTTGCTGTTGCTGTGTGGAAAATACCGGGGAGGTCGACCAAGGTAAGAGGATACAGGTCTGGGCCTTCAATCTCCAAACGCAGAACATCCTTAGAGAAGCTTCGGCCAGTATCAGAAATACCCATTTGATGCTTTGCGGTGTTGATAATGTTGTCGATATCCTCTTGCTTGAAGTCGGTAATCTGCAGTTCATGGGCAGGTTTGGTGTTGTCGGCGAACAACACCGTCGCTTTTACACGTCTACGACCGCCTGGGCGGAGAACCAGCTCCGTTGCGAAACGCGTACAGAGACCCTCTTGTACTGGAAAATGGACATGTGAAATTGCTTCGAGCACGGAGGATTTTCCCGAAGACTGGTCTCCGACAACAATGATCTGGGGAAGGTTGACGATTCTCCCTACGCCCAGCATAGAGAGGTTGTCGATTGTGTCAAACAGTGTTCGCGTCTCGACACTATTAAGCTCTCCAAGAGCTGCAGAATCAAGAGTGATTTGATCCATGGCGATTCGATGCTGTGATAGCGCGGCTTTGTTGACAGCGAGAAAATGACTATGGGCAATGGATAAAGGTGCACTGGAGCCAGTAGAGATTCTTGCCACTTTCCTGTCTCTTTAATAGCCTCCAGACAGAATTGGGCTTTTAAGGAGAAAGTTCCCCTATTTGTCGACAACCAACACTGTAGTGTTGGTTGTTGAAGACAGCGGCGCAGCAGGGAAAACGTCATTTTAACCTGACACAGCTGAAATGCAGGAGGTCCAGCCCCCGCCACTGATAACCAGGGCGGCGAAGGAACATGAAGGTTGGAATGCAAACAAACCGCGGCAGCGGTAATTGCTCATATGATCCCACGCCGTTTTGCTCGATTCGACCGGGGGCGGCTGTAGATGTTTTTTACTTGATCAAACTCTAGGCGGACTCAGATTTGCCCATCATTGCCTATTCTGCCTTTGCGAAGTACAGATTGGCCAGGTTGCTGCGGCCATCAGGTAACAAAAACAGCTCGCCGCTTCACCGGCGGCTGCTTGCTGTCTGTTCAAGCCTTACTAATTTTACCTAGTCCCTTGTGAAAGTAGACTAGCTGATAGAAGACGTCCTGAAATAGCACATAACAGTATTTCATACCTTCAGAAAACCACGTCTTTGCCGCAGCCTTGCTTCCTGACTTCTGGAGTGCGTCATGTTTTAGGATGGCACTTTTATTGAGCGCCACCTTGATGCGGATGTCTTCAATGAACGCTTGCTCTGACCATAATTGAGAACCCGACTCAGCATCCTTGTCCGGGGTTTGACTATAGAACATGGCGCAATCAGGTCCATCTTGCCTAACCAACGGCGTTCCACCATGCCAATTGAGGTGATAGTAATCCAATTACACCTAGTAAGTTTCCAGTGATCGGCATTCGATGACTAGTCTTCCGCCGCTCTGAACTCCTAAATGGAAAGCCAGCGTCGATTTAGAGGGGCGCGTAACAAGTGAACAAAGTGAGGATGGAGCCTTCTGAGCCTTGTCGTTTCTTGCTGGTTGGTATAGACCATTATTACCCAACGGCGCAGATATTGATTATGCTGTTGGGAAACACGCCAACAATTCAGTCAGGAGTCGAATGTTTCACTTCATATCCTAACAAGGCAGATCTGCTACCTATCTGACCACGTGTGATTGTTGGAACAATGCGCACTCTAGTTCATCTGTGCCATTGGATGGTCATGGGTGTTCGGGGTGTTCGGGGTGTCCGTTGGCGGTGAGATTCGTCGGGATGTAACAGGGGTCCAAAAACTGTTGGTTCTCTTCCAACTTACCATGTCAACTTCCCAAGGTGGTAATGCAAGACAGGGGGCAGCTTCTCGGCGGTTAGGCCGGCACAATTCTCGAAATGAGTATCAAGAAGGTGGGAGTGCCAAGAAGGGCAAAATGAACGGGGCGTATTACCCGCCGAGATTATCTACAATCGTACAAGGGGTATTTTGTTCAGTCCGACGAGCACGAAATGGAAGCCCCTCGTGGGCAAAAGTCCGGAAGAGACACATTGTAAGTGAAATTTTGAGTATTAGGTATCTGAGACAAAAGCTCAGAAGAAACCACTTCCAGTCATGACCCCAAATATCGCGTTCGAATGGCTAACAACTTACAAGACAGCAAACAAGGTCAGACTAATTGAAGAAAGGTAAGTTTTGGTCTTAGGGAATCCTTCCTCCTGGAAGGAAAGATGGGTAGGAACTTATTTCGATAAAATGTCTCATGGTGTTAAACGAGCGCGTTGGCCTTTAGCAACGTTGCAGTTCAATTGAGACATGTGGCTTTCAAAGATCGAATGCGTACTGTTGATTCTAATGCTGTTTGCTCGACGAGCCTCCTAGAATATGGGGCTTCCTGGGACAAAGTACTTACACGACTTTCAGTGATAATAGGGGTGTCCTGGGACATTTGACAACTCTCAATGGCCTCAGATTCCTCTCCTTCACCACAATAGCTTAGTGTCTAATGATCAGCTTCATATATGTAATTCTGTGATCAACCGCGGTGGCGGTGTTGAGCCTGCTAGATGTTAGTGGAAGCGGTTGCTACTCCATAGGATTTCGCTTGGGGTTTCAATTTTAGCTGCCTGTTAGATCACAATATTGCCTAAAAGCCCACGTGATCTTGCCGCTAACTCTAACTGGTTAATCCTGCCAACAGTTTCGGCTAGTAGCTGCAGGTATTCAGGATTCTCAGTCTGAATTTAGGCAACCGTTTGTAATCAGCTTATCAGCACGGCTGTTTACTCTTCCCTTTCCTTCATCGTTAACTTATGATACTGATAGTTCACTTGCACATCGAGTCAATCAACACATATTGGCTGCCAGCAGACAAGCAAAGCAGACACATTGCAGCATTGTTTTGCCTGAAGATAGCTTCCTTTGCCGACAGTCCTCCACGCCCTAGTACGTAGACACAATGCGCGAAGAAGATTTTCTTACTCAATCAGTTGTTCCACTGGCGAAGGAGTGGCTCGAAGAGTGCGCAGCAAACCATCCATCATGTGGTAAAACAGCACGACACAGTAGTATTTTCTGTAGCGACAACAACCTTTTGATCAGCGACCTCGAAGGCAAGGGGTTGGTTGCGGCACGCCTCCTCTATTTCACTCTCCATCCATCTTCAGAGGAAACCGATGTCGTGCATCTTCAACTTTCTGACTCACTGAGTCCAGATACGCGATACATTGCCCTCAGTCATCGATGGGGCAGCCATGAAACATGTTGCACCAAGCAAGAGAATCTACAGGACATGATTGACACAGGCATTCGTGTCTCAAAACTCCCAACCTCGTTTCGCGAAGCTATTTGTGTCGCGCGTGGGTTAGGAATCTCCTATGTATGGATCGACTCCCTATGCATCATTCAAGACGACAAAGAAGATTGGAAGGCTGAGGCGCGGCGTATGGCCATTATTTACGACAACGCTACTCTCACGATCGCCGCCAATGACGGCCTCAATAGCCATGCAGGGCTGATTGTTCATAATCCCGATCTCCAAAGTGTCAACACGCTCGACTCCCGAGCTTGGGTGTGCCAAGAACGGATGGTGTCGCCCCGCTCCCTTATCTTCACTGAAGGTTCTGCGATCTGGGAGTGCCGCGAATGCGACGCTTCTATTGACAAACCTGAACTCAAAGCCAGGAGAGTGCGGGGTGTAGAAGAAACTCCTACCCACCCGAAGGATATCTTTGCTTTCTTCAGAGACTGGCGTCTGCCTCTTAAAAAACAGGAGCCGGCAAGGATGATTCAGTTTGACGAGCAAGAGGAGGGATCTCAGGCAAGCAGAGAATCTCAGCAGCTTGTTTTTCATGGCGAAGATGATAAATCTGTTGAAGATAAGGAACCCTCGACAAATTTGCAAGGGGATCAAGATCAGGATGGTCAAAGCAACACAGTTAACGATGCCCCCAGCGAGGAAGAAATCCCGGAGAACGACTTTGAAGACCAATACAAGAAACGTTTAGTCCTTACTCCCGATGGCAGAAATGTCTTGATGCAATTTGAAGAATTTCAAGTTGACGAAGATGATGACAATGAGTCTCAGCCAAGCAGAGAATCTCAGCGGATTCTTGATGACGAGGTAGATGATAAGTCCGATGACATCGACCTTGAACCTTCAGAAAACCAACAATGGGAAATCAGTTTCAATGGCAGAAAGTACTCTATCGAAATCGACCTGGCCAATCTTGCCGTTGTATCTCACCGCAGCGCAGGAGATCCGGATCCCGATTACAAAACGCTCGGTCCTGTGCTGCTCCCTGGCGACCAGAACTTTGAAAAAGCAGTGAGCCAGGTAAAAGACATCGTCTCGGCTTTTCCTAAACTTCGTAGAGGCCCTCTAGATTACATTATACCCGTAGCGGTTCGTGATCTCGATTACGACTCTGATGGCTTTCCTGCATACACAGGCGGTTTACCTGGCCATGCGGCAAATTTGGGGGTCTTCTTAGAAGGCGCTACGAGGTCGATAGGATACAGCAACTATCCACAAAACTTAAGAGAAGGCGATCCAGACCCCTTTGGCGACTTCTTGGTTTTAGTAACCGACCTAGATCGACCTCAAGAGGACTACTTCCCTTTCCTCAGGACATGGTGGTCTTTCCTGTCGAACTACTCTTCTCTGTCTCTCACCTTCGGCTCAGACAAGTTCCTGGCCATCAACGGGATCACCAACGTCGCCCAGAGATGGACCCATCTACGGCCCGCATTCGGTCTCTTTTGGCATTTTATGGAGATGGAGCTGCTTTGGTACGTTGACCCTGACGGGCCACCAGGAGCGAGGCAGGAGAGCTGGCTAGTCCCAACATGGTCTTGGGCATCGACCAGAAATGGGAGAGTGAAGAACGACGTCTATACCCGACTGCCAATGCGGGGGTGCATCCAAATAAAACCCTATATACATGGTCCTGTAGGCACTGGGTTCAACCAACCGCTTCCTTTTGTCGCGTGGCGGGCCAGAAGATATCACACACTTGACATAAAGGGAATGTTGAGAAAGGGTGTGGTGACGGCTGTTCAGGATAAGGATGGAAAGATCAAGTACCCGATAATTCTAGAAAGAAAGGGGAGGTACTCGGACCAAGAGGATCATGACTTCCGACCGGACTGTGCCGAATCTTTCCCGGTCGGGCAGCCTGTGAACGTACTCTGTATGGAGTGGTATCATTACGACGCGGATTATTTTGGCCTCCCGAAGTATATCGATGTCGGCCTGGTATTTGAACAATTGAAAGGCGAATCTGAAATTACGAAGGCGGAAGAGGTCACACACTATCAGCTCATAAGCAGACAGCGGCTTCTTGTCAGGATTGGATACTTCGAATCAACTTATCCGCTAGGTACCTTGCGGGATCCTGAGGAGTTTGTGGAGGAAAGAGATTGGTATTTCGTAAGACTAGCCTAGCTTGAAATCTCTTCTCAAGCTGTGTGTCACAGGGCCCAAATGTTTCCATACCTTTTGGGCCTTCAAGACATTACAATCGCAGTTGATACTGAGACGGAGGACCTGGAGACGAGGACTTGAAGGCTTCTAGGCTAATAATCCACGTCCTCTTGCATTTTCATTTTGTAATCCATCTATGGGTCGCCGTTGTTATCAATTTGTTTCTGACCAATTGCTTGCCGTCTGAGGTGGAGTTGTGCTTATTGCCTCAGCACAGTATAGCGCACCCATCCGGGTCGATTAGCAGGCTCTTAGTTGTGAATACTATGTAGTAACATTAATCGCGTCAAAACAGGTGAAAGTGCCATTATGGTGATAGGCGATAGGTGTTGCCCATGAGAGGAGAACCGTACGGTTGAACATCTAATAGTTATCTTATAGTTGCGCTTGCCTAAAATGAGTAGGAGGTTTTACTTCTCAAAAAGATAAATCCACACTGCCGTCGGATGCTCACATTCAAGTTGCCATATCTATTCTTTCCAACACTTATAACATGCGTGCTCATGGCGTGTTTTAGTTAGAGTAAGTCAGGTAGTCAGGTCCACCCTCATGGAACTAATTGCCGAATCCAAAAATACGGAATCTTTTCTTCATATTTGGGCCGGAGAAATGAAATTGCTGAAAGCCAGTGTCTTCATTTGGAAATATGGAGATCCCATTCAGAGGACAGTTTCTGGAGTTGTCCTGTCACTTTTATGCAGCATCTTGACTGGAATGCCGGACCTGCTTCCAAAGGTGTTGCCGAAATAATGGGATCCCTGCCAGCATTCTCCGTGGTTGCCTACACCAGAGTTGCATATAACACCAAAAGATGCCCTGCAAGGGTTTGAACGCTGCATTGATCCAAACGGCCCGGCTCAACACGTACGCATCTGCCTTTTGTTGGACAGCCTTGATGATTTGAACGACCCGGACGTGTTGCACACGGTTTTTGCACTACGACTTATGCGGTGGAGCCAACAAAACCCGGATAGGTTAAAAATCTGTGTGAGCAGTCGGGAGGAGAACGCCTTTATGAACAATTTCCCAGCGCATCAGAGATTAAGGCTACATCGGCTAACTAAAGGCGACGTACATCGACTGGCTACTCTAAGGCTGAATGAACATTCCCGTTTCCGGACCTTCACGGAGACAGACCGCAATCTCTTCTGCTCCCAGATTACCAAACGCTCTTCGGGGGTATTCTTGTGGGTCAAGTTAGTTCTGGACGAGATCTATGAGAATCTAGACCAGCAGAGATCCCTAACGGCGTTGCAAAAAGCACTCGACCAAATTCCGGAAGAGTTGGAAACCTTTTTCTTCAAATATTCAGCTCCATACGTAAAGTGGACCAGAAAGAAGCCTATCTCATATTTCTGCTGGCGTTGGATTGGGGCTTTCCGGCCCTGGTCTATTCTTCCGTTGAAGATATATTGGCGTTTGAAATGGACAATGCTCACGTTGACAGTCGTCTGATGAGTTTGGAAGACTTGAACGTCCGGCATGCTACCTTTTCCGCCCGCTTGCGAGGCCTTAGTAGAGGCTTACTAGAGATTACTGGATCCAAAGTTCCATCCTTTCGTCGAGCCAGCGTCGATCCACGCAGGATACTAGCTTTTGAATCCCGCATCAGCCCAGTGCACCGGTCCATCAACGATTGGCTTCTACAATCGACTCCAGAGACACTCAAGCAGTTTGACAATGATGTTGAAAAAGAGAGAATATTCTTGGAGTGTATGACGCGGCATGCGTAACTTGTCCCATGGAGCTATTCTGATTGGAACATCCTTTCTCAGCGTCTCGTCGATTGGATATCAAAATCTTCCGCATTCAACCAAAAACAAAGTATTTATTTGGTCCAGTTAGGCATTTTAGAAGACGCCTTACAAGACAAACGTAAGGGGCTTGGAAGTGATGGAGACTCGCTACTCAAACACAGCTGCGAGTATTACTTTGTACCTTTCGTTGACTGGGGATTGCGAAATATTGCATGGGCGCAAGAACCGCAAGCCCAAGTAAGGCTCTTAAACAAGGTCTGTCACTTTGGTCGGATCTAGGATCAGTCAAGAGCTCAAGATCTCAAGTCATGTCTTGAATTATTCTTCAAGTTTGGTGTTGATCCCAACAGCGCCTGTGGTGGGCTCCAAGGGACTAACACCACCCCTTGGATGACGTTTCTTGTCAATACGATGGACCGTGATTCCGGATTATTATCACGCTGGAGTCTCTATCTTGGCATGAAAGAGTTGTTACAAGCTGATGCAGACCCGAGTATTCTTCTTGTTTGGGAAGCGGCAGAAGTCTATGAAGCCAAGATCATTTGGGATCCGGGATATCTAGACCCTTCGAAAAGCTCTCATAGTGGTCTTTCTTGGCACATCATAACAAATTCTTCGAAAGAGCCGCCTATGGAGGATCAAGGTCAATAAAGTGGAGATGAACTTGAAGCCAAGGAGAAGAGACCAGCCAAGGAGGTTGTGGGAAACGCGACTTTGTTCCACCGTTTCGAAACTTGGAAGCTGGCGGTCGTCTTCCTGATACTCGGTACGCACAATCTAGAGATACAGGTTCCAAACTGTGCCTGGCATATATCGGCTTCGCTAACAGGTGCTCTTTTGAACAGGGATACTCTGTGGAACACTTGTCGCAAAGTTGTTTTAGTCTGACGAGAAATTGTAGTGGTCTTTCGAAGATGACACTTTCTCCCTTTCCATCTTCAAGTGCACATAATACGAAGCCCCGTTGACGCACGTTTATGCTCTACTGGGCACCGATGGCATCGTGCTCTCATGGTGCTGCCAGGTCAGCAAGCCTTCACCGCCACTTCTGTACTGCGCGAAAGCCACAAGTCCTTGGGTTTCAGTTATCCATTCCAAAAATGGGTTAGAAGTCTGGTGGGCAATCCGTTATATACTGGTAGCTCCCATGGTGCTGAGAAGGGACAAGCGATCACGGGGATATTTAGAGACTCTGTCGAACGCTCCAACCATCTTGTCTTTATTGGGGAAGCCGCGCTACAGTGCTTGTTCGCAGCTCGAAACTGGCTATCATCAATCCGGCCGATATTGTCAACCCATGGTTTTTGCAGTGCAGCATTGCTATGGACGGGTCCGAGGGGAGAACGCAGATGACAGCGTTGCAGGAACACTCCAATGATTCGATCACAGCTACGGCCATGCTTCTCTGTTTCATAACTCAACTATGAAAGAGAAGCAAGCAGCGCATCCATTATTATGTGTAAATAATGCCGCCGTCCACAAGCTGCGTCTGACCTGTGACATGGTCGCTGTCCGGACCAGCCAGGAAGCTCACCAGCTTGGCCACGTCCTCGGGAACGCTCGTCCTCTTCTGTGCGATGAGCTCGCTCGTGAACTTCTTGATGGTGTCGCCCTTCTTGGCGCCCGTCCGCTCGCCCAGCTTCTCGTCAATGAGGTCCCACATGGCCGTGCCGACGATCCCGGGCGCGTAGGCGTTGACGGTGATGTTGTGCTCGGCGTACTCCATGGCGCTGGCCTGCGTTAGGCCGCGGACGGCCCACTTGGAGGCCGAGTAGTGCGAGAGCAGGGCGAAGGGCTTAAAGCCGACGATGGAGGAGCACTGAGAGGCGTTAGAGATAAGGGGATCGTCAAGAGGTGAGGGATGGAAGCATACGCCGATAATCTTGCCGGGCTGCTCGGGCGTGCAGTTGCCCTGCTTGATCATCTGCTTCGCGGCGGTCTGGTAACAGTGCTGCACGCCAAAAACGTTTACGCGAAACATGTTTTCGAATTCCTCTTCGGTGATGTCCAAGAGGGGCTTGACCTGCGCGATGCCGGCGTTGGCGATCCTGTCACGATTCAGCTCCCGCTCCACAACCGAGATCACACTCCGCCGTGGACTAACATGGTGTTCAGCGGGCCCAGCTCATTGACAGCCTTCTGGACCATGCCCTGCACCTCGCCGAGGTTCCTCACGTCGGCTGTCGCGACGACGGATTTGCGGCCGAGGTCGCGGATCTCCTTGGCGACCTGGTGGGCGCCGGCCTCGTTGGCGGCGATGTCGTTGATGCAGACGTCGTAGCCGTCGTGGGCGATGCGGAGGGCGACGGCGCGGCCGATGCCCCGCGAGGAGCCGGTCACAATGGCCACGCGGCTGGGACGATGTCAGTGAGGGCCGTTTACGATGTTGCTCCAACAGCAACCCATTGGCGAGTCAATGGCATGCTGGTCAGACAATGTTTCGTATAACAGGGCAATGCACGTAGAATGACGAACCTGGCTTGTGCCGCAGCTCTGGATGCTCCTACAAACGCGCTCATGTCTGACTTTGATCTTCAACAAGCTCTTAGACTGGATGGGCGACAGGCAGTTATGAGCCGTATAGCCGCAACTGGCATCTCGACTCGTCTCTTCCTCTCCTTAAGAACAAGCTCGCGCCAAGATCGAACCACGAACTAGACCCCGCATTGAACTGCTCATAACGCGGGCAACGCGGGGTCGAGAAGGCCGAACAAGGTCCAACGAGCGACCTGGGGAATCCTTTAACGATCCCTCCGTCCGGCGAGAACCCCAAGCCGCTAACATCATCCTCGTACACACGCGCAAGATTGTACAGTGCGTAGATGTATCAGGCAATGGTTTAATGCTGTTCCTGTCGAGGCGGGGCAGAGTCAGCTTCGAGCTCTCCCGGGAGACCGAGGAAAAGGGGATGCATAAGAACAGCTGCTGCTCCAACGGTCCCTCGCGGAATTGCCCCCGCTAGGAATTGATTGATTCCAGCGGTCGGGCGCCTTGGAAAAGGATCTCCGAGCTGGCGCCCCGATTTGTCATGCACTCCACGTTTTCGACGGGGGGGGGGGGGGGCGCCCAATCCCTGAGGGTCCAAGTGGTGACTTCAACACTTTTTTTTTTTCTCCGTTTCCCGTTTCCCGTTTCCCGTTCTGTGTGTGTCGCACTGCCGAAGGCCCCCAGAAGCTTAGGTGAGAGGTGGCGGTGCGGGTTCCGGTGCTTTGGAATCGGGGGGTGACGCAGGTGGCAGGGTCCTGTATATAGTGTGTAGATGCTTAGGTATTCGGAGAGAGAGAGCTTTCAACCTTATCAACTCGGGGTTTTATCTTTTTAGACAACTCATATTCAAATACCCAAGTGTAATCTTCGTCCAGTCCCACCGCCTCAAGCAAACCACCTTCCCGTATCATCCAAGCGGCGCGTTCCCGCCTCGTCATACCGCCCAAAAAGCACGATTGCCCCAAACCGCCCCCCCCACCGCCAGCTCCAGCAGCTGCCCCTCCTCGGCCTCGGCCTCGCGCTCGCCCTCTTAACAAATTTCCTCCTCCCACCGCAGCAGACCATGGTCTTCAACTTCTTCTCTCGCCTCGCCCGCCCCTTCACCTCAACCACAATGTCCGTCGCGCCCGCCTCCTCCTCCGCCGCCGCCGCCGCGGGCCCCACGATCCCCGAGGGCGCCCAGAAGGCCACCATCGCCGCCGGCTGCTTCTGGGGCGTCGAGCACCTCTACCGCAAGCACTTCCAGGGCAAGGGCCTCATCGACGCGCGCGTCGGCTACATTGGCGGCGACCTCGCGAACCCGACCTACCGCGCCGTCTGCGGCGGCGACACGGGTCACGCCGAGGCCCTGCAGGTCGTCTTCCAGCCCAACGACGTCAGCTACCGCCAGCTCCTCGAGTTCTTCTACCGCATGCACGACCCGACGACGGCCAACAAGCAGGGGCCCGACACGGGGCCGCAGTACCGCAGCGCCATCTTCTTCCACGACGCCGAGCAGGAAAAGGTCGCCAAGGAGGTCACCCGCCTCGCCAACGAGCAGTGGTACAAGGGCAAGATCGTCACCGAGATCATCCCCGCCGGCCAGTGGTGGGACGCCGAGCAGTACCACCAGCTGTACCTGAACAAGAACCCCAGCGGCTATGAGTGCCCGAGCCACTTCCTGCGGACCTTCCCGCCTCTCGAGGGGTGACTCCGTGGTCACAATGACGATGTGAGTGGCGGTGACGGCGGCGGCGACGATGCCGGTAGACGGGAGGGAGCAGGGTGGGACAGGAGTCGGCTGTAACGATATGGGTTTTCTTTTCAACTTTGGGAAATCATGATGATGCACGGGTGCTTCGGGATGGGCTGCGTTCCTTTTCTATTATGGATGTAGAGGACTGCCTCCGAGGCGATGAATAGCGCTCAACCGCTTTGAATTTGACAATTGCAGATTAAGGACGTCTTTGTCATGTAACATGTGATGTGTGAGAAGCTTAATTGGTGGTGAGATATCGCTCTGGAGCTGATTGATTTTCAACCCCTTGTCATGGCACGAGGACATTGAGCGGCGAGACCATGTGTTGTTCCCGCTTCAATTAACAGGGACGTATCACGGGAAATAATATAGCCAGGATATCCTTCTTAACAGTTTTGAATTTTACTGATTCAGGTATTGTACAAGTAAACAACTTCTAGCCCGTGAGCATCTTCGAAGTACAAGAGAGGGGTTGCTTTAGCCTCTGTGTTCCTCCCACCGTGGGTATATATCAGTGTCCCACCGGCGGAACTAGTATTAATCCATTCGTATCCTCCGCTGCCACGCTCCAACCGTATTCAACAAGCTTATTTCTTGCGGTTCTGCTGCATCATCAGGATTTGAACCATGCGGACAAAGATGTTGATGAAGTCAAGCTCGAGCGCAATGCTCTCGTTGACGGCGTCCTTGCGGATCACACCGCGCTCGGCGAGGCGGGCGTGGTGCAGGATCTTTTGGACGTCGTAGAGAGTGAAGCCGCCAAAGACGGCGAGACCACCGTACAGAGAGATGCTCTCGGTCAAGGCAAGGGTGCGGACGGCGGTGACGGGCAAGAGCATGGGAGCCAGGCTGGAGGCGACGACGACACCAAGACCAGCGAGGAGGGGACCACCGATGTAGAGGTACTTGTCCTGCTTGGCAGTGGCACCGACAATGGACAAGCTGCCCATCATGGCGACAGTGTAGAGACCAGCGCGGGCGAGGAGGGCACCGGGGACCATCGTCAAGAGAGGAGCAATCATGGCGGCCTGGGTGGCGTTGAAGGCGGCCCACATGGCGTACTTGGGGATGTAGCTATTCACAGTCAGCTTCCGTTCATAGTCATACACGAGATGGAGGTTCAACTTACTTGTCAGGAGAGATAGCCCGGGTTCCGTACATGGTTCCGAAGCTGAGAGCGAGACCACCGAGACCGACGACCCAGGGGTTGGTCACCATCAGCCTGTAGACGAAGCCAGACTGGATCATCTGGCGCGCGCTGAGGGCGATGATGCCGATACCCAGACCGGTGTGGAGGAAGGTGTCGTTGAGGTACTCGCGCTCGTAGACGGGCATGCCGCCGTCGTCGCGGGTCTCGCGGTTGAAGACGAGGTTGATGGCCAACAGGCTGCCGCCAAAGATGGCGCCGCCGACCAACAGCTTGCGCATAGGGCTGGACTGGCCCTGGACGCCCGGGGCGGCATCATGCATGTACGTCCTCGCGGAGTTGCGGAAGGCATTGCGGGCGACGAAGGAGGTCGAGGTAAGGCCGGTCGCGCGGGCGGTGATGGCAGATGATCTGGTCTTGGGCGCGGCCTGGTGGAAAGACCGGGTGGCCGTCGTGCGGAAGGCGGCAGAGGCAGAGGTCTGGGAGAGTTGCGGGAGACGCTGCGCCAGGCGCGCAGGCCCTTGACGAAGGGTGATGCTAAATGACATCGTGTAGTGCGTTGCTGTTCTGTCTTGTCGATGCAGAGACAAAGGAAATGTGCTGTGTCGCTTCGAGGGGTATGTGTCGAAGAGGTTCGGGACCTTCTTGAAGGAAAAAAGAGAGCAAGTTCGCAGTGGTGCCCGCGGGAGGCAATGACGAATGACGTTTCTCACTCTTTCGCGGCTGTTCGGGGTCGGGCCGGATTTTGCCTCTGCTGTCTGCTCGTTGGCTGAGGCAGCTGCTTAGCTAAAGCTTTTTCCGGTCATGTGAGTGGTCGGAAAGAAGCTGGTGGAAGTTCCTGTAGCTTCCAGGCTTTCTGCGCTGCGCCGTCAGCTCTTTCCGCTTAACTCCGATCCGGGCCCAGACGGATTTTGCAGATTAGGTGACCAGCTGCAGCCGTCTGTCAGAATGACTCACTGCCAGCTGGTAGCAGAGCTCTCCAACCCACACCTCGGCTCGTCTCGTCCGCTTATGGAGCAACCATCAGGCCTCTGCCATTATCTGCTCTCCTCCTTGGCATCCCGAATTAGCAACCACACAATGGACGATACCTAGTGTGCAGAGTAGCCGCCATCGAAGTTTCCCGTCGAAGCTCCCTGCAGCACTTGACACGTAAACTTTAAATAGTGTTATCATCATCACATATCGCTGCTGAACCAAAGCCTACAGAGATTGTGTTCCTGAGCGCTTACTGACGTATCCGCGTCCGAACAATAGACTTTGGCAATACTCGCCCAACAATCGCTCATGAACGACTGAACGTGGGCATGGCCATGCGACTGTAACCAGAACCAAAAAAAACCAAGAAAAAAAGACACCAACGCTTATCGCCCTCATGAACTCCAAGACACCCAAGGGCGCGCCCGAAAGACAGCCTCCCAATCAGCCCTTCTACCCCGCCTGTGCCTGGGCCAACCTCTCAATAACACCTGGACCAACACCGTTGCATTGGCCAATGTCCCGTGGAGCGGGTTGCGAGCCAGCCCTGGCCGCCTTGGGCCAACGGCCAACGGCCAACGCCCTCCATCCAAATAAGTTTCTAGCTAGCCTCGAAAGAAATAGCAAATCACACGTCCCGCAACGGTCGTCCGTCTAGGCAGATTAGTTCAGACAGTCTGTCCAGTTGTTGGCGTGAAGCCACCAGTCCGTCTCCAAAACGTCAACCTAACCTTTGCCTGCTCACTCGCGCCGCAGAGGGCTTCATCCGAATCCAGAGCCGCACCGCTTGGCTCTGGCTTGTCTATTCGCATTCAAGTGCGTCGACCGAACGTCTGTCCTGGTCTGCCAGGCCCGCCAAGGCCGTCTTTCCCTTACGTCGCCCGCCTCAACGGTGCGTATTGGACATCGGACGAGTCACGAAGCACACGATGTGTGTCATCGCGACGCCAATTGCCCATCCAACTGATTTGCCCCTGGGACTAGAGCTCTGCTTCCCTCAAGCTAAGCTCTTCTTCCAGTAGCCCTAAATAATTTACCCGGCCAACTCCCAATGCTACCACTCGGCTAAGAGAGATCTTCAAGGCCATCTCTCGACGGCGATCCGCAAGCCGGATAGAAACACTTGCACCCCAGACTGTAGCCCCCAGCACCCGAGCAACCGCACGCGCAGCAGCATCGCAGCACGTCCCTCCATGAACCAGGTCCATCCATCGTCCTTAGCCCGGACCGTTTAGAGTCGTTGCACGTCTTGAGCTGGTCTTATGAGACACATGATCGACCTCGGGTCCAGTACAGGGTGTGGGACGCTGAGAGCTCGGCTTCCACTTGAACCAGTCTGACGTGCCATGCGGGCAGATAAGTACTAGGTCGACGATTGTCTCTGTTCTGCATGTGAATTCCCCATGGCGCAAGAAATCGAAAGAGACTGTGAAGTATGATACCTGCCCGCATGAGAATGACTCGACAAAGTCACGCCAGACTGATCCACGAAGGACCCGTAAACCGGACCAGCCCCTAGCAATGTTGTACGATACCAGGGTTGCAAAGAAATAACACTGCAAACCAACACGGCGCCAAATTATAATATCAATCAACACCAGCGGTTAAGCACAAAATCATGCATGAATTCGCGATCTCGTTCCCAGCATTAGCGGCCAAGCTACGCTGTAAAAAGTGCTGCGTTCCGACAGAGCCCCCGTCAAGCGGTCCCCGCACGGGGCTCCAGCATCAAACGAACGAACCAGCGCCGCTTGCACCAACCAAGTGTCGTCTCATTTCCCTCCCCCCTTCCATCGTCGTTGCCGCTGTTGCTTCGGATGGTAACATTTCGCCCCCCCCCCAAAGCTGCAATGCTGCGCCGGGTACGACGCAGCAATTTCGAGATTCAGACAAACCAACTGTCTTGGATGTTCGGGTTTTCTGATTCGAGCAGCGGCAAATCGACAGCCGTGTAATTCCTGGGATGAATAAAATTACCCAGAGTAAGGGGAGTCGGCAAGGGTCCGGCTGTTCTGTGATCCGCACATAACTAACCCAGCACTCTCCTTCGCTTTCGCGGAAAGCCATTTGCGTTGGTCGTTCAACGCTTCTCTTCGTCTTTGTGCTATTGCCCTAGTCCCGACTTTTCTGGCCTCCCACCCGTTTCACGCTTCGCTGTGGCTTTTTAAAAAGACTGGCGCGCGCCCCCTTTGTGTGATTCGGATAGACCAACGGCGCTCATCCAAGTCTCTTCTCACCCTTGGCGCTCTTTGGTGCTGGATAGGTCACGCCGTCTAGTACAAGAACTCGACTCGGCCCGGTATCTTTGTCCCGTCGCGGAAGACATCATTAAAAATCTGCAAGAAGAACTCTGTGTTACGTCTTCTCAGCACCGTCAAGGATTAAAGAAGCAGCCCTCCACCATCTGTCAGGATCCGACATCTTCGGAAACTTTTAACACTGCCGACACGACCACGCCGATCCTTTTTAGTCCACGATCCAAAGACAGTTCAGAATGAAGGTCACAGCAGCATCTTCGTTCTCCCTCTCCATTCTGGCCGCAACGACCTGGGCCGCGCCAGTCGACTCTGAACAACACCCGTTGGTGTCCACCGGACACCCAAAGGTCCCTATCACTGCAGAGGTAGCAGCCCCAAGCAAAGCGCATTCGAGTCCAGCATCGCCTGAGAGCCTGATCGCGTCAGTATGGAACGCAATCACCCGTGGCAGTGAAGGACAGGAAGAGGACCTGGGTCAGGCGTGTTTCTGCTCCAGCGGCTCCATCTGCTGCCACACCTCTTTAGGCCTCGACTGCACGCATGGCTTGTGCGGCCTCTAGAGTGGATTTGGGTCGGCGACAAGAGCGTTGCGCTCTTTGGAAGGGGAGGATACGGCTTCGCCGGGGACCAAGCCGATGTTCCCACTATCACCGGATCCGCTCATATTTCGGACCTCCGAGCGGGCCCGGTTGCAAGTTGCGTTTGTCAATACCGGCAAGTTGTTTGCCGGGATTTCAGCCAATACGGGTTGGCTTTCGGAGGTCAGCATAATCGCCGAAAAATCCTCGCATTGTTTCGCATCCGATTCCGGATAAAGCTTCTTCGCGGAGTAACGAATCATGCTTTCATACTAATCGAAAACCGAATTGCTCGGTCCCGGCGATGCGCGAACCACTCGTATTGTACCTGTACTCCCATGTGCTGGAGTACATCACCCTCACTGCTTTACATTTGCGGGCGGCGTCGGTTCGAAACACGAAGCACAAACGCTCCGTGGTATGCGTGTGTGCCACGCTCATCAAGCTTTTAGTCCTCGCCGCACCTTGAGGGGCTCGACCGGTTGCTGAGGGCCTTCCGGCGTGGAGTGTAGCTGCTGGAATATGACTTTGTGTGACGATGGAAGATGAAGATGGTTCGCACTACTGTGTTGGCGATCCCTTTTCGAGACTTAGACCTCGTGTCTGCATCTAATCAGCGGCGAACAATGGAAGCAGCGTAATGCTGCGGCTATTCACATAGAAATCGACAGTTGGCGGAAGAACCAACATGGCGAATTTCCGTAGTCAATCTTGATCCGTAATTCAACTATCGGAGCGGCGGAAGTTGGAGTGATCGTATTCGTGTTGCTGCAGCCTGGCAGGATTCTGCCCGCTACGAGCTATGGTCATGTCCCGTGTAAACACCGTCTGACTTGCGTCGGACGCCATCGAAATGGAAGGCCCGAAAACTCCACTTTGGCCGCTGATGCAGCCCAACGAAGCCAGCCCAATTACCCGGGCAGGGGAACAACCGTTATCCTCGTGCTACTCTGGCTTCAATATGCATGTTCAGTGAGGAAGGGTTGCTGGAGATGACACCGAAGGGCCATGGCTTGCTGCACCGACCAACGCTAGAATTGTTCTGGAAGACATTGTGGCAACCAGTTGAGTGCTCAGGGCCGGAACCACATAATATGGGAACACAAACTCGAGCTGAACGTTCTCTGCTGGGTGTCTGCAGTAGTGCGAAACCGAAGACAATCAAGCGTTGTGTGCTGCCACAGGCCACTGGAAGGGGCATGTAGATGGATGGAAGGTACCGGGTCCGGGTCCGGGAAACGGGCATTGGCCTTCGAATGAATCGCGAAAGCTGTCCCGCATGAACATCGACGAGTATCCTTTTGTGTTGTTTTGGCAGGTGTTGGTGGAAACACGAAACAGACACGTGAAGCACAAGGATCTCCCATACCTGTAGTAGAAACCCTTGCTCCAGGGTCTCGTATTGCGTGAAGCTTGCCGAAGACAGCTTTGGGGCTCATGTGATGGGACTCTGTTTGTTCACGAGCAAGTAGGCCAATGATACAGACTTTTGGCCTCGAGTGGTGGAGAGTAGGCGAACCTGTTTGTCGTGCTTGGCACATGTTAGGAAAGGAGACCGAGACCGGCCGCAGGGCATAGTAAGATAAAGGCCGAGCTGAGGGTAGGGCATCGTCGGTCTCTGCACAGCAGATGCTTCTGGAAGGACGATGGAATCGTGTCAACACGTGGGCATTGGCAAGGATGTGCCATAGCGTCGAGCTACTGAGCGTTGGATGACCTGGTATAATTGCAATGGTTAGCAAGCTATCGGACTGCAGATCCCGGAGGGTTGGTCGACCAGCGTGGCAAGTCATGTCAGGCTAGGGTAAGGCGTGCAATGTGGCCAAAGTCTCCCGTATGCTGGTTCATGCGAGGAGGACTTCGCAATGTGCTTGGCTGGAGGCCGCGTCTGGAGTCATCGTCAGGCTTTTGTAGGACGCAGTGGCAGAACGCACATATGGGAGTTGCGTTTCAGCACGCAGAAGTTTGAGCTAAGATTCTCTTCCAAGTCTGGTTGTGCGGAAACGGAGGCCTGCGAGCGGTCCGACCGTTGGAACGGCAAGGGCCTGCGGCGACTTACTAGCGAAATCAAGTTCGTCTTCTCTGCCATCGAGGTCCAAAGCTCGCGTTGACAAGGTCTAGGTATGCAGAATTTGGCCGAGAGAGTAGACGACGACGACGGGATGTATCATTGCCTCAGTCCGTGCTGTTTAGAGGGGGGTGGCGAGGGGAGCGACAGCCTTGTGAGAATTGCCAAAGATGGTTAAGTCAGGAGACCATCCGGAGCGGTTCCAAGACCAGATGAGTAATCGTGTCCGTAAACATTCAGCTGATTCTTCCCGCTGGCCTGGAATGACGGGCACGGCGCTGCTGTCGTTAAAGATTCGAGGCATCCGGACTGACAAGAGAGGGTCTGGCAAAGGCATGAAAGGAGTGCAAGGAGAATGAAGTGCAGACTTCATGTCAATTGATCGACCATGATGAGAATGAAATAATATGCTGGGGAAAGGACGAGAATCAAGGGAGCTGCGGATGGACTCGTCGCTGTCGTTCATGCATGCAAGTTGCAGTAGAGAGGCAAAGCATGAAGAAATGGAGACCCTTGAGGGTAGCCAACATACCTAATTCCCATTGGAAACTGAAACGTCAAGGGTCCTTCCTAGGTATTCACCACTTTATGGCAGGGCAAGCGGGATGGACCCAGGTTGTTGACAAAACCGCGCCGCCTGGGTGTTTCCTCATCAGTAGTGTGTAAGAGCACCGGAGGAACATTGTTGACTAAGCCGCAGTTAGTCATCACCAGCCAAACCAATTCTCGCCCGATTCAATCTAACGTCTTCAGGATCGTTCATACCCTTGCGAATGCTCTTCTTTTCGTCGTCTCCACCTTAACAGACGAAATCTTGCATAAAGCTCTGAGTCGATCGATGAAGTCTCACTGATAAAACAAGCACGTCAGGCACACCGCAAGCAGCGTTAGACAGAGTTCTTCGGAACAAAGCCTGCGAACGAAACATCCACACACGACACATCACCTAGGCTGGCCTCCTCCGCCCATGGCAGGCTTCTAGGCGTCTTCCACGAAGCTTCCACGCATCCTTCTCCCTTCCGCTAGGCGGCGCCTTGACCACCATCCCCTAGCTCCAGTGCCAGCTTCTGCTCCCGACATGGTTGACCGGGTGCATCCTCTCATCCAGCCGCTGTGGACTTTCTTACACCCTCCAGGGACCGTTTCGTGCACCGTGCGCGCCATTTCGGGTCCGATGTGCCAGGGGTCCCGGCCTGCAGGCTTGAGACACGCGGTGAGCTGGCGGTCCACCCACACACTTGCCCGCCCTTTCGCCCTAGGCTGAGATGATTTGGGCAGAGCGACGTGAGGGAAGCGAGAGAAGTTGACAAGGTGTCGACCGAGAGAAGGGGGGAGGAAAGTGGGGAGATTGCTGTTGCGAAACAGACGGCCCGCCTGCTTGCCATCGTTTTCGCCTTTCGCCTCTCGCCGCTGCACGCTCCCCGCTAATCTACGCTCTGCGACACAATCTCATCCACAGGGCAGAGGCACTGGGGATCTACCAGGTACGCTGGGACAACTGGCCACAACGGAAGTCATCGTCATCGTCGTCGTCGTCGTCGTCGTCGTCGTCGTCGTCGTCGTCTCATTGCCTGGGACCCAAAAGCTGGCAGCAAACGAAGTAAAACAGCTCGGCTCAGCCTTCTCCTCGACTCTACGGAGGAAAGTCGTCCCTCTCTTGGGGTTGCCTCTACCAGCGCAAGGGTGCAGCAGCTTTCAGCAAGCCGAGTGGCCGGGCTGCTGGGGCTGGTGCGGCCTTCTAGAAGGCCCCCATTCACCTATACCGCATCGCTTCGATCACGAGGACGGATTCGAGATTCGAGCCACGGGGCGAGATTGAAAGCAGACGAACCTGCGCGATTGAAGTCTAAGAGGGAACATGATATATGCCACTACTTTACTGGCCGATGCGGGGAGCGGCGTGAGCGAGAAGCAGGCGCAAAGCCAAAAAGGACAAGATGGAAGCGCGCACGGAAACGACGCCAGAAGCCCGAGAGAACAAAGAAATACGGGCGACGGCTTGCCGTTTGGTTTCCCAGAGCCCTTAATTTCCCTCTCTCTTTTGCGCTTCTTTTTCCTCCTCCTTCCCCTGGCCGATCTGAATCTGATGGCGCAACCCCCCGAAGGCGTGGCTATCGTTGACTATCCTGGAAGATGTCTGCACCAGGCTGCCAAGTACCTCGTCAAGCTCGCGCTACCTTAGTCATTTGCTCAGCGTCACACTGGCGACCGGAGCCGAGAACAGATTCAGGTGGCATCTCTCCCAGTCGCCATCAAGGCCAGCCTTAAGCTAACGTCTCACGACGTTTCGCCCAGACGGACTTCCTGCGAGAGTCGGCGGTTGGTGTTGTATCCGATCTCTCTTCTTCTGACAGCCACTAGACTGTTGTTCGTTGACGCCGGGTTGACGATGGTTTGTTGCTCATTTTCCGGTGTGGTGTCTCTCCTGACATCATCTCTGGAGAAGACGAGCACATGGATGGGAGAGGTAAACGAGCAGCGGCAGGGAGCGTCACTGTCTCCAGCAAGCTTTCGACCTGCATCCTGTTGCACTCCGCGCCCCCGCCCTTGATCGTCAGCAGCAGCGCCGTTCTGTTTGTCATTCATAACATGTATTTCCCATGTACGTCTCCAAGAGCATCATGACAGGGCACCGTTGGCTGCAGTCGCAAAAGCTGCAGTTTGTCTGCCTCTCCAATCTCCCCAGCCGACGAGGCACCCAGGTCTCTGTACTACACCTAGGCAAAACCATAAAAAACGTACAGATAGGGTAATGCGTACGTATGTAAGTACAGATACCTCGAAGCATACCCTGGCAAACAAAACGCCTTTGCCCGGCGGAGGGAACACAAGATACCGCATCGTTGGCCGCAAGCTGTGGCGGCGGTATCAGATCTCACTGCATGGTGTCCCGAGCTCTAAGATGGTATTCCCTAGACAGTGAGTGGATTGTACTCGGTTTTACTATCTAGATACTAAACACCAATGCCCCGTCAACGTGTTCCGTACGTACATACGTCGACCTTCCGGCCGCCACCCACTACCGTACTTGTCCCTCTGGTGCGGGCAGTTTAAGCTTTGGCGTCAGGTTGCTCGTATGTCTCGTCACCCTGCCATGGACATGTCCTCAGCCCCCTGAGACCGCTACCCCGAGTGACCGTGTGCAGTAGCCAGGTACATGCGCAGTACATGTCTCGCCTGCCATGCCCCACCATCCGAGCGTCATTGTGCGAGTTGACTCCAGTGGGAGCTGTGACTGAGATGTGCGAGGGGGACGGGTGGACGGAGGGTGGGCTAGAGAGCCCAAGGCATTACCATGACAGTTTTTTGGTCTACGAATTACGAACCCGAGTAGGTTCGATCTCCCCCATCCGCAGCTAGTAACCATGGCTGCTGTGTTTCTGTTTCTTCAAGTGTTTGTTCCGGTGGTGGATGCTACGTACCTGGGAGGTTCGGTATGGGTATGCACACCGATATGCCGGCCGTTGGTGCCGGTCTGCTCTGACCGACAGACCGACATATGGACTGCGTGGCCATGTCGACCTGTCTTGTCTGTCCGGCAGTCTTTGGCTCTTCTGGAAGTCTGCTGGATTCTCCAAGCATCCAGTGGTGGCATCTGCAACCTCAGCTGCACATGCCCATGTTCGGATCTGCACAGGCGCTTGCGCTCAGGCTGCGAGAAACGTGAAGGAATCCAGGTGAGTCCTGTTCAGTACCGTCTTGTCCCCCTTCCCCACGGCCACGGCCACGGCCACGGCGGCACACCCACTCCCACACCCACTGCAACACCCACACCCGCCGCCGGCCTACCCTACCGCAGTCGCAGTCGCAGTCGCAGTGTCGCAGTACCTCTGGCAGGCACGTCCCACGTCCCACGTTCCGCCATCAACCTTTCCTCGCACCCCGTCCCGTCGCCCCAATTCCCATTCCTCCTCCCAGACCCACGACCGCCTCTTTTCGTCCATCGACGTCCCTCCTCCTCCTCCTTCCCTCCTTCTCCTCTCTTTCCTTCTTCCTCCTGCAGCCTCCTTTTCTGGAGAAAGCAAACAAAAAAGTCCCAGCTCCAATTGCGAACTACCAGCCATTGTCGGCCCTGAAGAAACCAGCGTTGCGACTACAAACCGACTGCATCCGCCTCTGTTTGCTCCCCCCCCCCCACCGCCAACGTCGTTCCCACCGCCCTCGCCTGTTGCTGGGATTCCGCCTTTTTGCGACCGACCCTCACACGCGACGAGAGCTGCATCTCGGCCCAAGAGGCACTCAATCTGCGTCAGACCCGTCGGCCCGTAAATTGTGGATGCGGTGAGTCTTGGATTGCATCTGCCCCTCGAAGATTAACTATGCCGAAACTGAACGTCTATCTGACATAGTTTCCGCAGACGGACCGCTGCCCAGACAAGCTCCCAGCGAACCCGCCGCCAAGCACAAGACAACTCCTCCGTCGCTGTCACTGCGCGGCAAGCTTGTTCCTCCCGCGACTAAAGCCGATAATCCGCCACCGATCCAAATCGCCAGTTGAACGCGGACGAAGAGGCCTCGTTATCAGCAACGTTCATTGCGTGATACGATCTGCGACACTCCGTCTTGTCAACCTCCTCCAACCACCACCGCCTTCGAGCCACACACTTGACGTCTACTCTCGGCACGTGGAAACAACTGAACAGCGACAACCGACAGATTCGAAACATACACAGGTTCTCAAAGCACACCGCCGCCGCTGGCAATCAATTGTCGCGTTGCTGCTCTTTTGAGGGTGCACTCTGTCTCGTGCAACAGGTCGTAGCATGCACCACTCTGGCCAACCTTGTCTTGTCTCAACTGGTGAATCCAAAATTTAGGACAGGGAGCTCGTACATCTCACGGGCGAGGAGAGGATTTCTTCCCTCCGCCAGCCTTCTGGAGCACAGGCGACAAGTTGAGCGTGCAATTGGTGGTAAATTCCTGTGGAAGCATCGGCTTTCTGCCCTCCCCCAGGGCGGAGAGCTTAGCCTTCAAGGCACGTCGGAAACCTGGCGTCGACACGACCACGCACGCGGCATCCCTCCCGGACCATGAGGCGGAATCGCTCCCCGACATCGCCCTCGCCCTACCGCGCCCTCGCCCACGGCGCCGGCGCCGGCGGGGTGCCGGATTCCATCTCCCTCCTCAGGTCCTTCAATGTTGACACGAACCCTACTCGGCCCATGCGGCCCTCTCCGCTGACTGCCTCGACCATACGCGATATGCCACTCGATTTGGTTGACCGCATCAGATCCTTTCCCCTATTCGTGTCTGCACCCGATGAATTCTTGGCCGCGATCGGGAACCACCTAAGGCCGCAGGTGCACGCAGCCCAAGATCATATCCTTACCGAAGGCGACGATGCCAGAGCAATGTACTGGCTGGTGCGCGGGGTAGTGGCTGTTACCTCACGTGACGGTGAAGCCATATACGCGGAACTCAAACCCGGCGCCTTCTTTGGCGAGATCGGCGTGCTAATGGACATACCCCGGACTGCAACCATCGTTGCCCGGACAAAATGTCTGCTTGTCGTCCTTAAGAAGGAGGATCTCCAGGCCGAGTTACCAAAGTTTCCGGATATGGAGCGGGCGATCCGTCACGAAGCTCAAGAACGACTGAACATTCTCAAAAAGAAGCGTCAGGAAGGAGGGCAAGCTATCAAGCCGCCCTCGACCCTCATCAACGGTGTCAGAGAGCCAGCGCCGGGGGAGGTTTCCACTGGCGAAATAGGTACCATCAGGGAAGGCACAGTCGTCAACTCGAAGAAGAGGAAGTCTCCTAGCCCCGGAGCCATCGAGGATCCTGCTGCGGGAAGCGCTCTCGGCAGTGGTTTTGTCAACGTGCGAAGGACATTACGGGAGTTGCCCCTGTTCTCAACGCTGCCTCCGGACATTCTCCACCAGCTGGGTTTGAGTGCCCAGCCAAAGACTTACTCGCCCTTCACGGACATCGTCCAGCAAGGATCAGCGGGCAACGAGATTTTCTTTATTGTGCGCGGGGAGGCAGAGGTAATCCACGAGACTCAAAACACCAACGAGCCCTTCAAGAAAATGACCCGCGCGACATATCTCCGGCCAAGATTGAAGGCCGGTCAGTATTTCGGTGAGGTAGCCAGTCTTGGGCTGTCCGAAGGCCGGACAGCGACTGTGCGTGCCATCACCACGGTCGAGTGTCTGATGATACCTGGTGACGCATTAGACACGCTGTGGAGCCGCTGCCCGCCCGACATCAAGTCGCAAGTGGAAGAGACGGCACGCAAGAGGTACAAGACGTCAGACGAGGACATAGAAATGGCGGATGCCGTCCCGAGAGAGCGCGCCAGCAAGTCGGACCCTCCCACGCCGACATCGCCCAAGGCTCTGCCGCATATGACCTTCACGACCCCTTCAAAACCCGCGTCCCCCACGAAAGATGACAGCGAAACCATGGAACCCAAGGATCCGGATCCCTTCTTGAGCGTGGATATGGAGAACATGCGGAACAGGAGACGCAATTCCCTGGCTCCACCTACTCCTCAATCCGACAACTCCTCGCCGATAGCGTTGAACGGGTTCAGGGTCCACCAGATGGAATCGACGCCGCTCCGTTTCTCCATTCCCCAGTCCCCTCCCGACTCAGAAGTACCTGTCAAGCGAGCCCGAACGTTGCCGCGCCGGCCTCACCTGACTTTGGTCCCCGCTCTCCCCGACGACATGCTGGTCGCAGTCTTCCGGTATCTGGACATTGCTGAGCTGATGCGGGCGCGACTCGTTTCCCACCACTGGCGCAAGTTGTTGACGACGAATCCCAAGGTGTGCTTAGATCTGGACCTGTCCGAGTACAATAGAAGAGTCACAGATGTGGCCATCAAGACAGTAATTGGCCCTTTCGCCGGTACGCGTCCCGAGACCATCGATATCAGCAACTGTTTCCACATCACGGATGAGGGTTTCCGTAGTTTGTGGGAAGCCTGCGGTCGCAATGTCAAGCGGTGGCGCATGCGGTCGGTGTGGGATGTGTCTGCGAACCAGATCTTGGATATGGCGGAGAATGCCAAGGGCCTTGAGGAGATCGACTGGAGCAACTGCCGCAAGGTTGGTGACAACCTACTCGCCCGCGTTGTCGGCTGGGTGGTTCCTGAGCCGCCACCACAGCCGGCGCCCAGCAAGCAAGTGGTGATTTCCAGCTCTACCGCCAAGTCGAAACCTCAGAAGGCCGCGACCCAGCAAATCCAGCAACGGGCGGCGGCCAACGTCCCCAAGCCGGGCACCATCATTGGCTGTCCTGCCCTCAAGCACCTCAACCTGTCATACTGCAAACACATCACTGATAGGTCAATGGCGCATCTCGCAGCGCATGCGTCCAATCGCTTAGAGTCACTATCCCTGACACGCTGCACGTCCATCACCGACGCGGGCTTCCAGTCGTGGGCCCCTTTCCGCTTCCTGAATCTGTCACATCTATGCCTGGCTGACTGCACCTACCTCTCCGACAACGCCATTGTTGCTCTTGTCGGTGCGGCCAAGAACCTGACGCACCTCGACCTGTCTTTTTGCTGTGCTCTTTCCGATACAGCAACGGAAGTGGTCGCGCTCGGCCTGCCACAGCTGCGAGAGCTCCGTCTTGCCTTCTGCGGCAGCGCCGTTTCGGACGCGAGCTTACAATCAGTGGCTTTGCACCTGAACGAACTCGAGGGCATTTCGGTCCGAGGCTGCGTTAGAGTCACTGGCGGCGGAGTCGAAAACCTACTCGAGGGATGCGGTCGGCTACAATGGGTGGACGTGAGTCAGTGTCGGAATCTCGAGACCTGGATCCGAAGCGGAGGTGTCATGCGATGGGGGTTCGACGAGCGTGGTGGCAACGGCCTGTCACCTGGGCAGGTGCCGCTGCCGCTGCCCAACCCGTCGCGCACTACGAACCACGTCGGCTTGGGCGGACGACCACTGAGCTTCCGCCGAAGGACGAGAAAGCCCGTGCGGTTCATTGTGGAAAAGGGCTCGTTCAGCCTCCGATGAAGGAGACGGACGAGGGGGGGGCACGTGATGCTTTATGTGAGATGTTTGTACGATGCGGCTGGCGTCAACGGAGTCGACTGTTTGGGAACATAGAACAAGCCTAGTCAACGGATGAGGCACGGTGTGCAAGGTCTTTTACAGGATACTGAATGACACTACGGGGTATCATGTTTGGATATTTTAACGGGCTAAGGATAGACTGGATATGGCGATACCCTGTTCATTTGACTATCGAACACGAAAAAAGCGTATGATGCTATCTCTTGTAACCCGTCCCCTATGCAACCCATCAAGCCTTCTTCGCCCTGTCCTGCTTCGGAAAGCCCACTCCCAGCAGGAATGCGGCCCTTGCTAACCCAGCCAGCGTCGTGATGCTCAGAGCGCCCCAGTCCTCGACGCGCCACGTCAAGGGGCTCAAACGCCCCTGGACGCGATACGACGCAAAGGTCCCGTAGAGGAGAAAGACGTCAACGACGAAGAGGGAGAGCTGGTAGATGCGCCATACTTTGAGGTTGTTGGGCGCGGCGCGCAGCAGCAGGATGGATAGGAGGGCGTTGGAGAGGAGGTGGCCGGCGATCTGGGCGTGCAGGGGGAGGTTGTACTCCTGGAAGGCCGCGGGGTCTAGGGAGGCTGCCGCTGCCGGGTGGGAGGTCGAAGGGTCCAAGGAGGAAGCGCGGGTGTAGTTGTCCGGGAGGTACGAGGATGTCACGGTGTGCGGGGATAGGAGGAAGAGGGATGTGCCCCAGAGGGCAATTAGCGGGTCGAGGAGGGTGAAGAGAGCGGAGTAGGTTTTTGGGATTTCGGAGGGCATGGTTGTTTTGTTGGACACGTTGGTTCTCGCTACGGGGCTTTTACGCCGTGTTGGGACAGTTGAGCTGTCTAGGCTGATGTGGTTGACGGGTGTGTCTGTTTTGTATGTTTGGGCGGTCCGAAGTTGACAATGTCGGTGATCGGTCCCTACGTCCCGCTGCCGGTGGGATACCAGTGGGATACCAGGAGTCAGGACCCCTCTTTAGTATTTGAGCAGAGGTTCTCGCAATAGTAATCAACGGAAGAATTGTGTGAGTGAAGATTTGGTAGCCGTTTCGGAATGTTGGTCAAGTGAGACTACATTGGCCCATGACCCGGCCTCGAGGGGTTCTAGTGTGCCGCCCCCCCCCTCCCCTCTTGTGAAGTTCCTGTACATAGAAGGGGGTCTCACGTTGATGTCATCGGGTCTCCGCGGGGCCGCCTGCCGCCACGCAGCATACCTAGTAGTGGAGGGAAAAGAAAAAAAGAAAAGAAAAAAAAAGCTCCGAAGCCCGAGGGCCGTGCTCGTCAAGGGGCAGCAGAATGAAAAGGAAGGGAGGGAAACGCCCCGAGCTAAGGTATAAGGAATAGGGCGCCATGTGGTCCGGGCGGTCCTTGTTAAGCTCGTGGGGCGGCGGCGCACGCGGGAGTTGAGGGAGCTTGGGCCACTTCTATCGGGATTACGTCAGCGGCAGTTTTTTTTGTCTTTCTCTCCGGGTACAGCACCTCGGGCCGGGTGCGGGAGGGTTCCATCTTTTTTAGGCACGTTTTCGGCTTCGGTCTTCGTCCTCGTTGGGAGGCGGCAATCAACGTTTCCAGCGTTGCTTGTGGCGGGGACTAGGAAAGAACATGAGGATGGCTACACTTTTGATGACTGCCTCTACTCTTGAATGTCTTTAGGACGATCACGAGTCGATGGAAATTTACTCTCGCAGACAAGCGTGCTGCATGACATTGACAGCGAAGGGAGCTCTACGTGGCGCCTAGTCGGAAACTTACGGACACGGTGATGTCGATAAAATGCTGCAGGTGAGGTAGCTGTCTCACTGGGGTGGTTCAACACGGCTGGCAATCATATCTAGAACCCCTCTCGTGTGCAGAGACGGCGGTTCGTGCAAGGGCTTCATGCAGGACCGCGGCGCTGACATGCCTGTTGCGGAATAGCCCCCACGCCTCCGCGCAGCGCTCCATCCTGCTGATCAGTCGACGCTTACCAGGCCATCATGGTCTCCCCATTCCCGTTGCGGTGCTTGACTATTCAGTTTCCCGGTGCAGGACGACACTTTGGTTGAATCCTTCCGTCATGCGACTGCTCGACACAACCAACTTGGAACTAAGCGAATTCTACGAAGGTCGAGTGCCGCCGTACGCCATTCTTTCGCACACATGGGCCAAAGAAGAAGTCCTCTTCCAGGACCTCGAGGGCGACCCGTCAACGAAGGTGGGGTGGACAAAGGTGCAGTCTGCGTGCCGCATAGCCCGCGGCCAGGGCTACGCCTGGATATGGATCGACACGTGTTGCATCGACAAGTCCAGCAGCAGCGAGCTCTCCGAGGCCATCAACTCCATGTTTAAGTGGTACCAGGGCGCCGAGACATGCTTCGCCTACCTCGCCGATGTCCCCTATGTCGAGCCCGGGACTTTGGAATGTGCTGACGCTTTGGCTGACAGTCGATGGTTTACGCGCGGCTGGACTCTGCAGGAGCTGCTGGCTCCGGTGGCGTTGGACTTTTATTCTTCGGACTGGAGGCGCATCGACTCGCGATCCACTCTTGCAGAGGTCATTGGGAAAATCACAGGCATCGACAGCATGTACCTCTGCGGCGAGACAACGGTCCTAACACTCGAGGCAAGCGTGGCTGAGCGGATGAGCTGGGCCTCAAGAAGGCGGACGACGCGGGTCGAGGATCTCGCATACTGCCTGCTGGGCATTTTCGACGTCAACATGCCGCTGATCTACGGAGAAGGCACCAAGGCCTTCAAGCGACTCCAGGAGACGATAATCAGGGAGATCGACGATCAGTCCATCTTTGCATGGGGTGAAATCATCAGGGGAAACGCTTCCGTCCCGAACCGGAGCCGGCGGTCGCTCCTTGCGGAGAGCCCGGCGGATTTCAAGAACTCTGGCGATGTAATTCCCACCTGGAACACGGCTCTCGAGACTCGGATACGAATCGAGCACAATGGAGTCACAATCATGACGCCGCTCCTTAGAGAAAGACCCTCCAAGTGGGTAAGGAAGAACTCCTTCATCTTCCTGGCGCCCCTTCTCTGCCGGCGGAGGAGCGACCTATTCAACAACGTCGCGCTGTGCCTCCGCAGCACGATGCCCCCGAACCGGACCTCGGACCTCAATCCCGAGGGAACGTCGTACACCAGGGCCTCGGACTCTCTGCTCACCTACCCGAGGGCGGCGTGGGCGAGCGAGAAGCTCTGCTCGGCGTTCATCTACTTTGATGCCGAGCGCAGGTGGCAAGTAGCAGACCGTCCCGACTCGCATTCGGGATGCGCGATCCGCACGCTGCCGAGAGGATATATAACGGGCCCCATATACTCACACGCCTGGGGCCGCGTGGACGAGATGACCGTCTTCCCCCTCACCGAGCGCCTGGTCCTTTCGTACGGCCTGACGTTCCCCATTGTCGTCCGCCTCGAAGGCCCGGGCCGGGGAGATCTCGCCCTCGTGCTGCAATACCAGCACCAGTCTCTCGACGGCGACGCACAAGGCGGCGTCAGGTTCTCCCCGGATCTCTACTGGATGCTGACACGCGTGGTGGTCGTCCCCCGGGGTCGGCGATCGAAGACGTGGCGGCCATCACCCTGACCGAGTCCGAGGAGTGGCCGGCGGACTACGTGCGCCAGATATCCGTCGCGAAGAAGGACACCGAAACCGGCTCACTGCTGTGTACGGACCCTTTCCGGCTGAGCCGGCTCGAGACTTTTACGCGGTTCCGCGTCGGGGTCTCGCAGGAGGCCGTGGTGCATGGTGGCCTGCTTTTGGTGGATGTTGAGGACCTGGAGGGGGAGAACGTCTCGCCCGAGGTGCACCACAATGGGAATTTCATCTCCATGCATGGCTTGGGTAGTGGGGAAGATGGTGTTTGAAGGCTATGATCTGCATGGCGGGCCTTGTGGGTGCAACTGTTTGGGCTCAGATGTGGAAGGTGATGGCGTCGACTGCCTTCCTGGCGCTTAATATGCTGTGCAAGGGATGTAAGGATGCTGTAGCTGTCCCTTACAGACATGCATCATAACATATCAAGAGTTCTCGAGGCTTCATTATATCACATCATGTTATCACCCAGGCCCAAGGCTAGGAGATGTGGTGACCTCGTTGTATTTCACCCGGCTGTAACATCTGGTTTCAGCCAACCCTGGTCCAACGCCTAAAGTGCTATTCAAGATGCACCACACCGCCAAGCTTACTCCAAACCATCCTGAATAGTCAAGTACTCGATATCATGCTCACGCTTTTGACAATTCTGGAACTCCACCCCTCTCAATTACTCATGAAGTTCCTGACCCTCGACGTCCGGGCCAGGCCCGCCATACTCTCCCTCCTCATCATCCTCATCATCCACATCGTCCTCGAATTCTTCTTCCCCGTCATGTCCGTAAAAGTTTTCCACAACCTGAGCCTCCAAGTGTAGCTCCACACCAGGCAACAAGGGAGGAACATCCCGAATCCGTTCGCCAAAGACATCATACCCGGGTATCCCAGCGTACGCGCCCCCGTGCGTGTCTCTCATGTGCTCGTAGCACGCTAAGCTCTCTGGGTAGTGGCTCATACACACCCAGCAGATATGGGTATGACAGCTCTCGCATTTCAAGTGGTTGCAACCCCCCGTCCGCTCGAGAAATGTCCCGCACTGCGGGCACCCCTTGATGTTGAGGGCCTTCCTGAGTTGGGTGTTGGCGTCGTCTTCCGCTTTTTCGCAGGAGACGTCCTCCTCGTGTTGCGCGTGGCAGGCGCTGCACAGCACGACCAGACAGCCCGGGCATCTGGCCACCGGGTTGACGTTGGCTTTTTTAGGGGTGGGCCGATAGAGCTGCTGGCAGCCTGCCGTCGGGCAGTTGCGAAGCTTAAGAGGGCTTCTCCTGACGTAAGATGTCAAGGAAGACTCGAGAAGGCGTCTGTAATCGACCGTTGGTAGGACGGCTCTGAGCTCGGACAGGGGAAACGGCTTCTGGCAGGACCCTATGTTGCCGATGCACTTGATGGCGGTGTCTGTGACGGAGACGGCTGCCGATTTAGTCAGATGGGTATAGCAGTCCAAGCAGTAGACGTGGCCGCAGCTGGACTGGATAGGATCCGTCGGCTCCGTCATACAGACCGAACAATGGGACTCGCTCGAGCTCTCGTCGTCTTGTAGGCTTAGCGCATCTTCAAGCATATGTGCATACTCCTCTTCTTTGGAGGCGTCGACTTCGAAATGGCTTTCGAGGATCCTCCTGACTTGCACGGCGGAACTTTTATCCGTGCTAGTCACCTCAAGGCTGATGGTCTCAGGAAACGCATGGTCGAAGACCTCGAAATTGACTTGAGGATAGTTCGTGCTCACACGTCCTAGTGGAGCTGCAGGGTTGTTTATCCATCGGTAAGGAATGACGAACTTTGTCTTGAAGAGGGCCTCTACATGGAGGACCCCGCTGCGTTGGAAGGGCAGCACGGTATCGTTGTACTTTCTAATGGCGCGGCGTGCGTCTGCCTCGTCGACGAACCGTACCGTCGCGCTTGTCATGCGTTCATCGGCCGTGTTCTGGGGGCAGAGGTCGGATGCCAGAGGGCCGATGCTCTCCAGTCTTTCAGTGAGTGCCGTCAGATCCGCGAGTCTGTCTTTGGCACGATAGACTCTTGGAGGACTGCCCCGATCCAATTAGGCGTGAGGTCTTGGGGTATGCGCTTCACAACGTCGGCATGGGAGAGGTGAATCGGGAGTCCGCTCAGCTCAACTGCGGTCCTCGAACAGGGCATAGGAATCACCTCGGCACGAACGTGACGATCGAAGGTCTTGATCAGTCTGTCGTGTACCAGGCACGCCAGCTCTCTTGCCTTACGGCCATCTCTAAACATGAGCGTTGCGGTCCTGGTCGGTTTCCGCCACGTCAAAAGGAGCGTGCAAGAGTCTGTGACTGCGTACTGCCGTGCTGGGAGCCATGGGATGAAAGAAGGGATCTCCTGGACGTCGTCCGAGAGGAGGGTGCCGTGTTGTTGGTCGATCTCCTGGAAGCCTCTGCATATGTTTTGAGCGAAGTACCTGTCGTTGGCGGCCAAGTCTGCGAAGCGGATGGTGCCTCGTGTGCCTTCTCTGACGAATATCTGAAGCTGATGGGCGTCATAGCTGGAAATTGCGGCGAGCCCCTTCCAGATAGACTCGATTGAGGCGTCGGTGTCGATGTCCCATATGCGAATGGCTTTGAAGTCGGTAGAAAGGGAAACTCGGGTGACTTCGGCGCCGGGGCCGAAGCGAACTTGGGCCCCCATCAAACTTTGAATGATGAACCCCTTTGTGGGATCCTGAGGATGCAGGAGAGGTTGTGGAATGATTCGAGGAGGAGAAGAGGTGGAGAAAGGAGTAGTAGATAATCGGCTTCTTTGATTCGCCATTGCCGTGGTTTTCTTGAACAACAGGTTTGAGGAGAATGGTATTGTTTGATAAGATGAGCTCAATGGAGCAATTCATCAATGCCTCGTTGTGCTGGCCCAATCACCTCAAGCTTGAACCATGCACATTGAAGAGAAAAACAATGTTGGAGAGTCAGACAGAAATATGTGGATTGAATGAAAAACTCAACGATTTGCTAGATACAGATAGATGAATTAATATAGAAAAGAAGCCAGCGGAGATAGGGTCACTGTTGGAACCAAAATTGTGTGAGTGACGGATGGAATAAGCTTTGAGCTCTTCCAAGATCATGGAGACTTATGGGTCGGCTGAACCATCTCAAATGTAACGAGGCTTACCACAGCCCATCGAAAGCAAAGCTGAAGTGACTGGAACTGCTCGGTGAATCCGTCTCAGAACATGAAGCTTATTAATTATATGCGTGACACCTGGCGCCCCGGGCCACGATCGAGAAAAGGTGAACAGGTCACTGTTGAACTTGACCTCGCCGTCAGTTCAGAATTTTGGCACGATTTTAAACTTTGGCTCCCTGTACATTACCCTGGTGAGCTAGGCTGATTGTTACTAAAATGGAAATCAGAGCCAGATGCCTGAAGTTTGATACTCAACAGATGGTTTGATCAAAAAGTCGGCTCGTTTGAATGAACAGATGATCATCAAGATAGGTAGTACTACATCAAGCATGGGCAAAAAATTGGTCCAAATCAAAGTAAAATGAATCAGTAGTATGTATCGGGCCTTTAAAGCTAAGCTACTATATACATAGAAGTCATTAAGTCATCCGGGCTGAGTCGGATCCGACTGTGATAGATGCTTATTGGGATGGTTTCCCTGAAACTCCACGCTGAAGCTGAAAAGACAGAAGACAGCGTCAAGCAACCGCTTAGCAGGCGGAGAGTGAGGTCTGGCCCTTGCAATTGGCGGTGGTGGTGACCTTGGAGCTGCTGCCGCTGCCCTTGTTGACACCCTTGTACTCCTGGCAGACCTTGGGGACGCTAGATCCGCAGGTGCCAGAGATGGTGGCAACATCGCCGTAGTTGGAGTTGATGCCGACCAGCTCCTTGACGTTCTTGGCCTTAACGTTCTTGACAATGACGTTACGGGGACCGCCGTTGTTGGTGCAGTCACCGCAGCCGCGGTACAGCTTGCCAGCGGTGACAACAGTGAAGCCGTCAATAGTAACAGTGCCGCGGCCGTTGTGCTGAACGACCTTGTCAGCGGCGTTCTGAGCACCACCGCCCTGGATGAGGACATCGCCATTGCCAAGGGCAGAAATGGCGTCTAGAGAAACAGTCAGAACATTAAACAAAAAGGCATAATGTAAAGCAGTGGGCAGACGTACCTTCGCAGACGTCACGGAACCAGACGTTCTTCAGGGTGCAGGCACCCTTGCAGTGGACACCCTCGAGCTGGTTGGCGCCAATGATGACGTTGCTCAGAGTGGCGCCGTTCTCAAGGATGAAGACAGCAGAATCACTACCAGTGTCGTCGTCAGTGTCGCAGGCACGACCACGGTCGAACTCCTTGTTGCCAAAGTCCTTGGATCCCGAGATGGTAGAAGGAGCGGACAGAGAGACGATGGAACCGCTGCGAGTAGGGATGTTGAGGGTCTGGGCCGTGGCAACGGTGGCCAACATGGCGGAAACGAAGATCTTGGTCTGCATTATGAAGAATGATGCGGATTGCTCCTAAAGAGGCTGGAGTTGAGAGATTGAGAGATGGTAAAGAGGTGTCTCGAGCGAGCGTGATGAGGAACAGGAGTCCAACACTTGATGTCGGCGGAACTCAAAGAGTATTTATGATATTCGGACTTCCTTTCGGATATCGTGACAATCTTGACCCGGAGGGGATGCAAAGATTTGCTTACAGTAAGGGAGTTTCACATTGATCGGAACAGTCTAGAACGTCCAACGCCGGTCACGAGTATCCCAATACCTCCACCTTACATTGATGAGAGCCAACGGTCGACGAATCTCCTTGGTGGAAATTCCCAAGAACACTTCTATCCTAAAGAATCAACATTAGCTTCCTACCGTAGGGTGCTCGCCCAGCTACGTGGGTGGCTATCGTGATGTCCCCTAAACATCCTTGCCGGCCACGTACCGGTCCCATCAACCCACCAATGGGCTCTTCCTGGACCTGACAGCCGCCAACCTGGTCCCTGTAGTCGAGAAAAAGGTCTGGCATACCTTGGTAGGTGGGAGCGGCGTGGTTCTTCTAGCTGTGAGCTCTGTCCTAATTTTTACAGGGTCCGTAGGATACTAGGGTGGACATCTTATCGCTGTAGACAGGCCGTGTTGCAAGCTTCCAGTACTGGGTGGGAATTGCCACTATGCATCTGGCGGCTTTCATGAGGATAAACACTCGAATACCCTACATGGAATTGCTCTGCTATCAAGATAGCAAAGGACTGGACTGTTGGGGGTGGTTGTGGCCCCTGGCTGTTGCCCTTGTGGATTCCGGAACCCTTGATGAACCTCCCTGCTTCATGCCAATGGCAGCGCATGATGGCCACACTAATTCCTTTCATAGGACTTGGCAGATAGTTACCCAGCACCGCCAGGTAAACACCAACTTCGAGCATAGCCCTCTTCAAAGTGTGTATGTATCATCGATAACGGAGGCCGAGACTGCTTAACTCGTGCTAGGGAGGTGGTGTATGCGCGATCTTTTGAGGAACCGCCTTGGATACGTACTTATACATGTGCTGGGGGCGTATAGGTAGATAAAGGGTACAAAGAGATCCCGAAGGCCTCTCTTCCAAATGATGATGATATGGAGAGTTGAGGTCAAGAGAGAGCGCAATCCTCTAATTCGAATGTCTGGGCTGGCAGAGTGCTGCTCTGAGGCCCCATGCATGAAGTACCGCCAAGATAAACGAAGCCGGGGTGCATCGCACGCTAGTCGCAAAGCAAGACAGTTTGACAGAGATACAGTAGATAGGGGGACAGCCCTCAACGTGGCGAAGTGTCCACAGAAAGCTGTTGGAAAGATGGCGTGAGCCGGCAATGTTCTCCATAGGGAAACACCTTGAGGAACGGTGTGGTCGAAGGCAGCCGGAATCGGCAGGTGGATGTATTGAAGCCAGCAGACTTATTAATCTGATATCAGTGGGACAAAGTGACATTTGGATCACGAGGTGAGCAGAAAATCCCCAACTTGCAGCTGCGGTTTAAGCCTAAACAGTAGCTTACTCGGGCGCATGCAAAATAGAGTGGTAGGCTTCTGGCATCTCGGGGAAATTGGTGACACATCACTTCCCCTTACGCGCAGGAGCTAGGACGAAGTTCTGTAGCTGACCACGCATGATAGCCACGGGGAGAGTGATTTTCGGGGCTTTTCTGTCTCGGTAGATCATTGTCAGCTACCGGCCTTTGTGCCCCGGCACCATGGTATGGATTCAGTGCTTTTCTCCGTATTATGGAGACGGAACATTGGCGGTATTTGCGGATGCGTCGTGAAATTGGAGAAATTGGACGGACGATGCCAAGTGCTTCGGGTCAAGCATTGTGCGTTCGGACCAACGCCCCTTTGAGATGCTTGGCGCTGCAACCCTTACCAAATCTCACCGCACCGTTGAGACTCTTGCTATGGGATTGGCCAACTTGTCATGAGAAACAATATGTTCCGTGTCTTGGCAATGCGCCAATCCTTGTTGGTGCCAAGTCGCTGTGGAGCCAGCAACTCATTGACGGAAATCCTCTGTTTCCATCGATCAGCAACCCTTCAAGTCAACCACTTTCCGAGCTATTAGGCAATGGCAAGACAACGAAGAGGGGTCAGTACCCAGTCATCGCTTGCAAAGTACAAGCAGACACTCAGTGTAGTACTTCGGTTGCCCGCAATCGACGCATTCTTTGCACTCTTCGAGAAGGTTAATATACAACAGATTGAACATATTGAACATGTGCACCGGGTTCAACGATTGGGCAACTCTGTCGAAATAGGAACAGAGGGATGGATTGACAAAGCTTCATACCCTCCTTGCACCGGCAAGACGCCAGTCTAGTCTCGAGACCTCTATAAAATCATCATCTCGCTTAACTGCAACTCCGTGATTCCACCTTCGGTCATTATGTAATGTGAAGAGGCGTCCCGGAATGCGGGACAAGACTCCATAACCACTAGCGATAACATACTCTGTGATGAGTATGTGCAGTGCCTTGAGTTCGGGATTCTGCTCTCTTCTAACTTTTGGCTGTTGCAACAAGACTTGCAACTCTTGAGCGAGAGTAAGTTTGCGCTTTCATCTGCCAGGATTCCCGTGCCAAACTTAGTCGGCGTCTTGAAGCCAGCTCTAAATGCTAGATTTTCCTGGCCAAGGGCTCGAGTCAAGAGTGCTAGTGGTTCCACCACCCTTGTTTCGACATACGCAATATGACATGCCATGTAGTTGAAAATCGGATTCCGATTACAGCATAGGTGTATCTTGCATAGTAGGGATCATGGAAGAGTTCACAGCTCGCAGATAGCTCAGTCCGAGATGTGCCAATTCATACAGGTCATGTTCTGGTTTGTGCACAACAGTAAAAAGACTTTCATGCCATACTTCACCTAACTTCAAACGAGTAGTGACGATTGACTGGAAGAGAAAGCGTCTACCCAGTAGTGACATAAGCTACTAATGGCTTGTGTTTGCTTCTACGGACAGGGATATTGCCGCAAAATCTGTATGACGGAAGGTCGTGTCGAAGTTATCAGACCTTTAGCTTCTAGTAGGAGGTACACTAGCCATCAAACAAGCCGAGGAATAGTTCAGCCAATTGCAAACTAACAAAATAGAATTTGAGAGACAGACTGAAGGGAATGGAAGCAGGCAACCCTCGTGGTTGGTACCGATTCATATGCAAATTCTTGTTTTGCGACTCTAAAGTTTTGTTAAGCCACACGACCAATATCAGGATCAGAAGAACAGGAGTGTCCTTGTAAAGTGACCCAGAGAGCTAACACTTCGCATCATATACCTCCGTGTTTGATCATAAGACCCTCACAACGTGTTATCGCTCAGCATTCGCCCGTCGCGCTCCCTCCAACGCAAGGTGTGCCAGTACACTCGAAACCTCTCGGACTCGCTGCGTTATCGCACAAATACGAAGCAGCGGCCGTGTCGTTTGGCAACCGCAAATTGACGTTGAAAAGTCCGATATTCGTACAGGGAGCAATTGCGCTGCATTGAAGACTGGCCACACGAGCCGACTTGGTCGTGCCCACCATGCCGTCAACAGTAATGTCTCGAATCTGGAACTGCGAGTTGGTGCAGTTACCCACACCAGGGGCGCCGCGGAAACGGGTGCACTGGGATATTGAGAAGGCGGCACCACGCATGTCTGCTACGGTGAGATTCTTAAATGACATATTTGAGGCAACTGTCAAAGCTTCAGGTCAGCAATCAACTTGAACATAAGATAAGTTCAGATGGCCCATACATCCGAGCCCACCACCACCTCCATTTGGAGGATATCCATTTTGATCGTCGGTCCAAGTTTTGAAGTAGACCTTGGGTCCTGATTAGCAAACTACTTCGTTGTAGCTCCCAAGGCGAGGACCAACCGCATGAAGAGTGTTCTCAAAAAAGCAGTCCTCGACGTTCAACCACTCGATCGTCTCGAATTGATCGTTGTATTGCCCGATACTGCCAAGTGCGATTCCGAGTCCATTGTAGAACCTTGAGTTAGTGATACTAACATTAGTACTATTGGCCTTGAGAGAAATGCTGTCGTCTCCGCTATAGACCGTCCAGTTGTTGAACTTGATACCGGACGACCGTATGGTATCAGCGCCGTCAGTGTTGGCTGTTCTGGTCAGCATGCAGGTAAACCTTCACGCAAGGGTAGATTTTAGAACGGCTTACAGCTTTGAAAGCGATTTCCGGTATTGTTGACCAGGATGCTATCGAGAATCAAATTGTGAGAATAGATGATGGACATAGTCCTGCCCCAAGTCAGATGTAGCCAGGTGCAACCCCTTTTTCCTCCAAAGGAAACCTACCACATCTGACTTCTTAGGAAATTCACACCCTTGACAGCGGAGTTTTTCAACCCGTTAAATGTGATTGCATGTGGGCGACCAGGGTAGTTGGACGTGTTCGGCTGTTGCCTAATCCACTCATACCAATAGTCGCCATTGCCATCGAAAGTGCCCTTTCCATGGCCATTAATGCGGACATTTTCGCCGCCGAGGATGAAAGCAGTAGACTGATTTTGGTATCCGACATCCAATGAGTTTGCGAGCCAGTATGAAATATTGGTGCTCCACTGAAAGATTACGCAGGTCTCGAATTAGCAGATTGCCATCAAGTGAAAAGTCTTGGTATTGTTTGGTTTGGCGCACCATACTGATTGCGCCAATGTGGGCAGGATGCATGTTGTGTAACTGTGTAACGTACCAGAAGAGTTCCTTGGAGGTCAATTTCAACGTCGTCCAGCCAAGTAACATTTAAAGCTGAGTTGACATAGTATGTTGTGGGCTCAAACACAATTTTGCCGCGTCGACCGCAATTAACAAATGCTTCCAAGATGGCCGGCGTGTCGTCGGTGGCATTAGTCCCGCTGGCTCTGACGGTGCAAGTCTTTCGTCCCACTGCCTTTTCAGCCTTTTGAGCTACTACTATACTCGAGAAGGGGATAAGTAGAGTGCAAAGCAAACCAACCGGCCAGGAATAGCGCATGGTGGAGCTAGCTTGAACAAAGTCTCTCAGCCGAGGGCAAGGGTAGCCTGAGAGCTGTAAATGGAACTTGTCAGATTGGCCGAATATGAGTAGTGGCTGATTGAATGCGTCCCATCTCACCAGTAACAGCAACGGTGGCCGAGGGGGTTAATACTCGTCCAGCATCGCCAAATCGGCCTTATCTCAGCCGAGCCCCCGCGATGTCAGGGTGGTATACCGTCTTTCGCGCTCAGCTTTAGTCGTCGGACTGCCTGGGTAGCATCTAAGTGACGTCTTTGCCGCCCCAACGGGTTGATTTCGCACGAATCATGGAAAAAGCCGAGATTCCCGTGCCCATGGTTACTCGATGTGCTGTCGATCGACTGGCGACGCCGAGGTGGGGTCATGTGGGGAAGACCGCTTCTTCACAGAAAGAGTTGCGGGGGAGAAGCGACAAGAAATCAAATTTCGTTCTTCTTTGCAGCGAAGTTACCCAGCAGAAGCTATATCAATCTCAACTCAATTTCGGTGCGTAGTGTTGAACCAGATTATGCCACGGTTTTATATTCTCTTGCTCGGGCCATTGGTCTGGAAGTTGTCGAAGCTGTGTCACGTAGCTAACGTGGAAGCTTCAAAGGCACCCAGGGGAACCCGAGTGGTTTCCTAGGATACAGCACGGCATAGATCAGCAGTGAGAAAGAACTGGTGGGAAGCAGATTGGACTTACCGCGGAAGCGCAAGATGTCGGCCTAGGGAGAGAAATGTCACAGTGGAGTTGGAGGAGCACGGAGTCACCATATATATATCCTCTCTCCGCCACTAGCGCAAGTCATTTTCTCGACTTACAAAACTCGGTTGAGTTTATAATACTATGGCATACTTTGGCAACGCTGCTAATTCTTTTCGTTGTTAGCGTCTCGGTGTAGTTATTGTTGGCACTGCTACGGGGGCCCATCCCGGGCTTGTGGACAGTAGGCCGGCGGAATGGATCCATTAAGTCAGAAACGGTTCGCGGTATTGTAAAAGAATCTTGACAAAATTCTATGTACCAGTTTGCCAAGAAATCACGCTTCTGAAATCGTGTGATGTGTTATATGAATGCCCAACAGATGATGGATGTCACAGAATGGCGCATTACTTTCAAGAAGTCGAGTGTGCTACAAAACTCTAAGATGTGTTGATGCCTTCATAAATGCCGAGCTGTGAAGAGCTTTTACAAGATTCTTCTTCTATTCTCTTCGGTAGACAGGAAGAACCTAAAAAGGATCGCGAGGGATGATCGCTATATTCGCAACTCATGCTATTCAGAGGTTGTTTCTGCAGATAGTTCCCCCATATGCTGGGTGCTACTCCGCTAGGGCTGAAAGTGGTTCTGACTGGATACAGCCAATGACTCGTGTGTTACATGAGAGAACAAGACAACAAATAGAAGAAACCCGTTCTAAAAATAGTGATTTGAAGGAACAGTTGACCTGATCACAAAAGTTTGTGATGCGATGCGCCCCGAACTTCGTATTTACGAGAACGGGACAACCCAAAATTACAGGGCTTAAATCAAATGAGATTGGTAAAAGCTGAAATAGGCAGGGGTGATCTAAATGCGAAAAAAATGCCTTAGCAATGCTTGCCCTCTAATAAACAAACGCCGCTTGATGTGCCGTCCGGGTTCATTGAGTGGAACTCCACGTAAATCTTGCTTCCTTTTATAGAACCCATACATTGCTTCCGCTTAACTCGATTCCGTCTCCGTCTCCGGCTTGACGCCGTTAGGGTACTCTTTGTGAGTGGCTTCGCCTTTGGCATCGGTACGGAATTGCACTTCTTCTTCTCTGAGCTGGGCCATCAATGTTTCATTGGCCCTCCAAACTGGCTTGATCTCGAAAAGTCTATCGACCTTTTCAAGTGGAACACCACTGGTCTCGGGGATGAGGAAGAAAGCGAAGAAGAAAGCCAGGAACGAAAGTGATGCAAAAAAGAAATAGACACCGTATCCCATGGCTTCGAACATCTGCTCCGTGAACCGTGAAACGAGAAAGTTGAACAGCCAGTTGCTAGCTGTTGTCGCGCCACCGGCGAGAGAGCGGAAGTTTGGGTCAAAGAATTCCTGGAAGACGGAAGTGTTATTTAATGAACAAGCAATAGCTTTCGATATCAGGGTTATACTTACAGAGTTGATGACCCAAGGAGTGCCGTTCCACGTCGGTGTGTAGACTGCTGTCCAAAGATAAAAGAAGACAATGGCTGCGTAACCACTACCCGTCAGGTGATCCTGGGGATTTTTCGTCGGGTCTACTATGCAGACATATGCACCGATAACCCACATGCAGATGGAACCAGTGACTGCACCGATGAGCAAAAGCTTCCGTCTTCCAAGTTGATCTACAAGGAAGAGCAGCCACACAAAAGTCATGATGGCCTTGACGACACCAAAAATTCCAGTCATCAGGTTTACTGTGTTGGAGTCGATGCCGATACTCTAGTAGAAAACCGTCAGCAGCAACTCCACACTAAGTTCAAGGTCCAATACTTACCGAGAATATAGTTGGACTATAGTAGTTAATAGCGTTGATGCCACTACCGTTCTGCCAGAAGAACAGCATACAGCCCAAGAACAACCGCCACTGCAGTTTCGGGCGAGCAGCCAGAGCTTGGAAAGGCTGCCAAAATCCGGTTCCAACTGTAGCCTTTTGCATCTCATAGATCTTGTCGATGGCGGCGATCTCTTCTTGGATATAGATGTCGTTGGGCTCCAATTGACGAATCCAGCACAGATTTTCCATCGCTTCTTTGCGGTAATCCTTGAGGAAAAGCCACCGGGGTGACTCCCGAATCCACATCGAACCTAGCAGGAGGAGGCCAGAGGGGATCAACTGGACGGCAAAGGGTATGATCCATTGCGTGTGACCTGAGGGTATATGCGCTTCAACTCCATACTGCCGTTGAAATTAGCAAAGTGAACCAAACAACGAGCATTGGAATATCGTTGTCACTACTTACGTTGATCCAGAAGCCGACCATACCCCCTATCTGCCAACCGAGTTCATATAAACCAACGAGACGACCACGAATAGCTGGTGGTGCTAGTTCTGAGATATAGATAGGAATAATGTTCTGTAGTCACGTGAATTAGTGATTTGCGTTATCCACGCAAGCTCGAGATTCAAGGCTTTTCCTGGGTGCCTTGATCTACAAACTTGGGAGATTAGCCACTCACAGATGCAACTCCGGTTCCCAAGCCCGAAAAAACACGTCCAGCATAAAGAATTCCAAGCCCCAATCTACCGTTGGCGCCGCATGTTAGGCCCGCTCCCAATGAGAAGGTGGTGGCACCGATCGCCAAGCACCATTTGCGACCTATGGAGTAGCTGAGGCAATAGGTAAGCAGGGCGCCAAAAAACGCGCCAGCCACGAAAAGAGAAACGATGTTTTCGCTAATCAGGTTTCTTTCCGAAGTTGACAATTTGTCAATACCGAATTCTCTTCTGAAAGAGTCGAGTGCGACGGTTGTTCCGATGAATGCACTCGTGTAGCCGATCATGCAAGATCCGCAAGATGCAATGCACGCCAGTACATATATGCGCCAGTTGTAGACTGACGGCGGTGTCGGCCGCTCTTCGACGACTGCCAAAATGCCCATGGCCGTTTGGTGTGGCGGCCTACGATATGGCGGGTGATAAAGCGACTTTCAGAACGAGTGCAGGTTGAGTCAGAAGTCGAAGAGGGTGAAATGAGGAAGAAAATTGTGAAAAAAAGTAAAGGTGACAGTAGTCACTAAAAGTAACTGGTTGTCCCCATAGTCTGAATCTTCAGTGCCCCATAGTTAGGAGTCAGCGTTCTGGGGCTCGCGAGTTCTGGGGCTCGTGAGTTGAGAACTGGAGAACAACTGCAAGCGTGTCGGTGTCGTTGGTAATGCGAAATGCGATCGTCTAAACTATGCCGGCAATAACGATGCGGCTCTTCGTCATTTCCATCGCAGCCCAGCCATTCAGGAGGTTTCTTGAGCACAAAAAAATCAGGGATCCACAGAAGGCCCGACGGGGCCGAAACACCTTCCCGGGGATGCGTTTTCCCCCGTGGGAGCGTCCGCTTCATGATTTTCCCCATGGAGATAAGGACACTCGACCCGGGGCGACGAATGGGCGCAATACATATCTCAGACGAAGGCCCATACTTCTCCATCCTAGCAATGAGGTTTGTGGGCTACCGAAAAACCATTAGCTAGGAATTATGCGCCCATCGAGCCCCTCCCCCACGCCGGTCGCGGCTTACCGGCAAGGACACCTTCGCACGGGGTGATAAATGTTCACCCGGCGGCGTCCAAGCGTCGCAGAACTCCGAACCCGCTACTGCCCACAGGTAGCATTTATACACGACAGCAATGCTGAATTGAGGTGGCACTAGATTCTTCCGATTCATGGACTCGAATGTACAAGTCTGAATGTTTTCCCCAGTACCAATGCTTGACGTGATATTTCGTCATTCATGGATGGGCTCCACAGCACGTCGTAGAGGTCCGATAACGTTGAGTCAGAAGCAACTTCCACAGCCTAAAGGGTTTTCTGTTGAGAAACAGGGCATATCAACCAGTTGGTGAAACTGAGAGTGATGCAGTTGATTGATCCGAGGATTCGAGGGCGTGGTGATCAATGGCTTACGCAATCAGAGGCGAACTGCAAATAATAAGAGTGATGGGAATATAGAATGCGGAATCCGATATCACAAATAAGACATAAGGACGAGATGGTAGCTAAAAAATTGATTGCTGAAGAGCTGTGAAGACGAACCTTGTGCTGGCTCAGGTTCGTTCTGTATACACGTGTACGGATCATTGGTCCTCCAATTTGTCGTCCACTTGGGTTCCGTGAGCGCTCATTTCCAACAAGTAAAAGTGGAACTGTCCCCTTTTGGTCGAAACGGGGCCTTACCGCCGCACCTGATGGGGTGCGAGCTGTACGACTATGTGATTATCGTGTAGTCCCCAGATCAACAATATTACTAGAAAGCTAACAAGGCCTACGGGCACTGTTCTGCAGTACAGAACTCTAGGTCCCTGTTGTCAGAGACATCGGTATCTGATATTTGATCGCGATATAAAGCCTAGCACTTTCTAATAAAATGCGCGTTGTAGTTGTATACGATGGAGCAGAGGTGTCTGGTTCGATAAATCGATACCACAACTGATGTTGATCTAAAGCTAAAGAGTGGGAGGGAAGTCATGCTCTATTTTCGTGATCTCTGCTCTAAAAGTGAGTGATTCTGCTTAGGCGGTGTGCGTGGGCGAACCAGATAGACAACGTCTTGTGAACAATTATTTGGCGTTCGCGCAGCCCATGCGTTTCCGTTCGGACATCCAACCTGTAAAGCATTCAAAAAGCAGTGAATTCGCTGTATCTACCTCACAGAGCTCAAAGGGAAACAGTTGCGCATCTGGATCAAGGACATACTAAACAACTGTGGCCTCATTAAGGGAGGTTAAACTCTGCAAGTGTAGCACAGTGCATTTCGTGCTGTGATAGAGTGCTATTTGGGCACCTAAGCCTTCGTGTCTCTGAGTGATTCGGCTGACTACATAGATTTTTACTCCGGCTCAGAAACTGAAATCAATGTCTGATCTATAGTCTCAAATAGCTACTGATGAGCAGACCTCTCTCCTGACTGAATACATTGTTACTGACTACTTGAGTAATCCAACTGTAAAAACTAACGGGTCGTGGTGGCTGCTGGGTGGCCTATATACTTGCTTAGCCCGCGCATTTATCACGTATGTTGGGGAGTCTTATTTGAAATCTCTACTTACACTACGACGAATGAACTGTTTTGTACTCGAAGTGAACATGTAAAGTCCGGTTGAAAATTACTTGCAATTATCCACTCGTTGAGGGTATTGCCAGATCCTAATAGTCCGGCCTCTAGTCTCACAAGGTGGCTATCTGTGGGACTATGCTATATATGTTGTCAGCGCCTACATCCTCTACATGTTTGTCGAGTTAGTTCTCTGGTAAGGCGAAAACGTGTTCAGGGGGTCTCCGTAAAGCCAGTTTCGCCAATAAGTTCCAGTCCTCTTCTCCTCCTTCTCTAAATTTGAGGTCGCCAGGTTGAGAGTCAGACATACAGACGGTAGTAGTGAGTGTCTATAGTTGAAGGGTGAAAAGGAAAGAATCCTAACACTCGTCACGTGACTGTGCAAATCGTTACTTGGCTGTCCCTTTTAGGAAGGTGTTACGATTACCATACCCTCCGATAGGGCACTTGATAAGCATAACTCAGCGAAAAAAGTTCTGGTTGTGTAGGTCGACTTCTTCGCTTCACCGTTGACGGCTAAGGTACAGAGGTGGCCAACCTCACAGCCATCAACGAGGCCCGCGATGCCCCGGCCCAGTGCGACACTGAAGTCGAATGGTCGTCCTCTGAGAGGATCCCGGATCGTGAGAAGAACGACGCAGAAGGAGAAGCACCGCAAGATCCAAACATTGTGGACTTCGATGGTTCCAATGACCCAGAGAACCCGCTGAACTGGTCGACAGCCAGGAAGACAACGTCCATCGTTATTGTGTCCCTGACCGCATTGCTCTCGTAAGTTTCTGATACAAATCACTCCAATCGTTTGCTGGCGGGCTTGATGCCGGGCGCCAGAGCTAATCATCCATCTACCCTCCGTCCCAGACCCATCGGCTCAACCATTAGCGCAGCGGCGGCGGCTAATATCATGCAGCACTTTGGTACGACTGACGAGACGCTGGGGGCATTCATGACAACTATCTACCTGATCGGATACGCGTTTGGCCCCATGGTCATCGCGCCGCTGTCGGAGCTATACGGACGGGCTATCATGTTTCAGTCATGCACTCTCCTGTTCGTTATCTTCAACGTCGCATGCGCGGTGGCGAACAGCTTCGGCTCTCTGGTGGTGTACCGCCTGCTGGCTGGCATAGCTGGTTCATGTCCGGGCGCGTTAGGTGCCGGCTCTATCGCAGACATGATTGCGCGTGAGAAGCGCGGGGCCGTTATGTCTGCATACGTGATGGGCCCCGTCTTGGGACCGACGATTGGGCCTATCATCGGCGGCAACCTGACGCCGGCTGCGGGCTGGCGATGGGGCTTTTGGCTGATGGCTATTGCTTCAACTGTCATGACCGTCCTCCTCATCATCTTTGTACACGAGTCGTATCCGTACGTGATCCTGAAGAGGAAGACGGCACGGTTGCGCAAGCAGACTGGAAATCAGGGCCTGCGGTCGGCCTTAGACACAGGCAAGACCCCCAGTCAACTGTTCGCATTTTCTATACTTCGCCCTTTCAAGATGCTGATTTCCCCCATCGTTTTCTTGATGTCCGCCTACGCCGCCACCGTCTTCAGTTATGCCTATCTCTGCTTTACCACTTTCCCACGTATCTTTAAAGACCAGTACGGCTTTGGTAGCCAAGCGTCCGGACTAGCCCCCATCGGTCTTGGGGTTGGTTTTGTCGTGGGCCTTTTTTTCTGCGGTATGGTCTCTGATCCATGCTCCGCCTACCTGACACGGAGAAGTGGCGGTGTGAGCAAGCCTGAGTATCGACTACCCACATTGGTGGTCGGTGCCGTTTTTGTTCCCATTGGCCTTTTCTGGTACGGATGGACAGCCGAAAATAAGGCCCATTGGATTGTGCCCATCATCGGAACCTCCTTCATTGGCATCGGGATTGTTATTATATATGTGAGTCCTCCTAGGGCAACATCGTCAGCACACGCTTTCAGTAAGACTAATAAATGCACTGTACAGTCAACCAGCGCTACTTATCTCGTAGATGTATACACTGTTTATTCTGCATCCGTTATGGCTGCAAGTATCATCTTCCGCTGTTTTTTGGGAGCTCTGCTACCTTTGGCTGGTAGCGCTATGTTCGACGCCCTAGGAGTAGGCTGGGGTAATTCCGTCCTTGGGTTCATATCTGTTGCCTTCCTTCCTTTGCCTTTCATCTTATACTTTTACGGTGAAAGAATACGCAAGTTCCGACTTTTTAGGATGGAGTTTTAAAACGCTATGACACCCAAAATGTCACACTTAGTGCTGGATTGCACTCACTAAGACTCTAGTTGGAACCACCCTCATCACCTACCGCGCCATTCTCCTCACAAGGGCCTCATACAAAGCTTAATATTCTCCCGCCTATTGCTATAAAAGATAATAGTAAATCATGAATCGAAGAGTATTTGTATATCAAGTCTTCGACCGCCGTGCCGCGGTCCAGGCATCTTTAAGTGACGAGCTCATAAGTTTGGAAAAATGTCGAGGAGCGAAATGGAAAGAGTATCCAGTAGGATGCAAATCTGTCATAGTTGATCGGACGAACCAAAGTGATAATTCTATTCGTCTCGACTCTAGTCATAATAGATATCCGAGGTGGATGCCGGGACTACCTTGGTTGAGTCAAGCCCCACAGGTGATAAATGCTGAGTATGTGTGGTCTAAAACCCAATTAGACCCTCTCGTTCCGAGAGCGAGACATGAGTATCTATTTCCTTCAAATTCGGCACTACTTCGCGCTAAGTCCACTTAATCCTATAAAACCGATAGCGAAGCCGAAAGTCAACGATCGCATCCAGTCAATCCAATCCCCCTTGATCAACACTACTCTACCATGACACTAGCAATCACGGTTCGCACGCAACTCCCTTATTGCCAAGGCGACTGACTATATCAAAGGTCCTGAGTCGTACACCCTAGATTGTGTACGGCTTTGGGTGCATCCCGAACCGAGGCATGGCAAGAAAGCAACTCCTTGTCTTGTTGCCTTCAACGCACAACCACCAGTGTAGTCATAGAGAGCTTCATGACTATAAAGACCAGAACCATCGCACTCCGATTTTACACCCAATCACTTCCTCCAACAGTTTACATTCGCTTACTTGTCAACTAAAGCTCATCTTTGAAACAAACATTAGCCCTCAAATCTTTCCTATTAAAAATGCAGTTTCTCAGCACTTTCACCCTCACAATGAGTGCCATGTTCACTCTCGCCGCTGCCGGTACCATCCCCGCTGGCGGTCCCGATACAGTTTTTCCCGCCGAGACGTGCGGCACTGGCTATGCATCCTGTGGTAGGGCAGGCACCAATGGTGACCCGGGCAACCGATGCGCGTTGCAATGCACTTACCTGGGAGGCCCTACTTCCATGGGTAGCTGCCAGTGTCCAACCGGTTACTACGTGGATACCTGCATTAGCTCGTCTGCACACTCTGGTCGCCACAAGTGTTAGAATTCTTTTGGATCTAGTGGTATGCCTTAATTTCTGACAACTCAAGTCTCTTAACTGATACTCCTTAGAGTTTGGAACTGTCCAAATAATCTGGGCTTGAGACCTTGGAGAAACAAGATGATGGTACACTTTGCTGAAGGGTGGCTTCTTCTCTATACAACAGTGGCTTCAATTTGAGGACTTTGACCATAGATTCAGACTCTAGACAAAATCCAAACTCGTGCATTACACAGAAGCTTGTTATAATTCAAGCCCTCACGGAGTTTCTTGATGAGTCTGACTAATACCTCCCATAGGTATTGGCCTTTGAAGATTACGCAATATTAGTGAGTAAGGCATAAGTGAAGTAGTTATCAAACTCTCGTTTATATCCACTTCCTTTTAGTTAGCCGGTGACTTAGATTTCTACCCTGAAGCTCATGAGTATGAACATGGCCTTGCAGATAGGTATTCTTTATTCGTTACGCATCTTCCTAAGCACGGGTCTCATTTGAGCTATTCAAGAGTTTCATCTAGACTCTTGCCACCAATTTTTAACTTCAAACGTCATCGACATAACGAGATTGGACCGTACCAAATTCTAAGCTATGCAGTCACCGACAACGTGTCCAAAATGGGAGCTGGAAGGCCTCTCGCAACAATCAGAGCTTCGATTCGGTAAATGAAATTGGTGTTGGTTCTTTGTCCGACCCAATGATGACTATCTTCGGAAAGTCAACATTTTCACCAATTTGCTTCAACGACCTATAGCGTATTTGACCCACATACCATGTAGCTCTAATAAACTTTCCATGCAAGAAATATTCTTAAGACGATACTGATCTTACTGCGAAGTGTCACAGTAGATCCTCGTGACTCAGTGCAAGCAAGCTTACTGCGCCAGACGTGTCTGCAAGCTCTTGAAACCAGAGATCTGAACAACGTGAATTAGGTCCCTTGTCGAGTTGTTTAATAGAGACAATATTTTCACTGACATTCACGGCAATGTTTCGCCAAAATATCTTTTCATCCAGGGATTGGCCTTACTTCCAGATACTTGACACCACCATCAACTTACCAAAGCCCTCTTGCCTGGTATTCTTCTCCTTTGAGGGGGTCGAAGTCTCTTAGTCGAATTCAGATACTCTGCAAAGTTTCAGTATTTCCTGCAGACAGTCTTGTTAATCCCAAGTGCCGCATCCCTTGCTCAAATGTATGTGCTGTGGATTCGTTGTTTTCATTCGTCCCCGGTTCAGATCGACAATCTTTGCTTTATCTCTGGCGACTTGATCATAGCTCAAAGCCAAGCCGATCCAGGAAATGCATATTTCCACGCATAAACATGTACGTGCTCTTTCAGACGTATAGACATACTATAGGAGCCCTCCTTAAACGTTCAATGTCACGATTGTTCCCGATTTCCAGCGGCAAATATGGCAGCCCAATGCCTCCATTGCAGATACATGGGATTCCATGGCTGAAGCTGTTGCTGACGATAAGCTGACTTACAGACATCATGCATGGGTCCATTCTCATGCTCCAAGAATCAACGTGCATCATAAGATCTTGGTCCTAATTGAAGACGAAGAGTAAGTCAGTAGACCCATCGGTGGTATTCGAAGACTAATCTAATCTTTCCCACCAAAGCTCTCCTCGGTTTGACCCATCCCTCTGCGACGTAATGCGCAAAAGTTTTCCATCCTCAAATGTTGTATAGTTACGTCTATGAACAGCCCCAACCATAGACGGAACGTTCGCAACAGTCAATGGCCCATGGAGAACTTGGCCGTCAGTGGCAGAGGCAGGGATATCGCCGCTGATCTGTAATGGTCCTGCATAACCAATGCTATGCTTGCCAACCAAAGCCCATTCAGCATCCGACTGACTAATTTCGAAGGGGAATGTAAGGTTTAACGGGCGGTGTTCGGGGTCTGTGGATGTGATCGTGGCTGACATGAAGCCGGTTTTGCTGTAAGTGAGAATGCCAACAGGGTTTGAGCCATAAGTTGGGTCATCTACAGGTGCTCCATCCCGGGCTCTACAAATATTCAGATGTCAACCAACGTAGCTTCCAATGAGGCCTAGCATGAGTGTGGATGCGTACGCTGATGTGTTGAGGAGGGTGTATGTCCCTGCCAGGACGGCGATAATGTCGGAAGGATGCATGTTGACTAATGATGAAACCGCGTTTTTGGGTACTGGAAGAAACTGATTTTGGAACACTGATTTTCCCTCTGATCCTTTTGACGAAAATATAGGAGAATGACAGACATATAAGATGCAATTCGGCTAGAGTAACGAGCGCTTTCCGCGAACAGCTTGGAAAGGTCAACCGAGACTAAAAAAGTATGTTGTCGGCACACACGCGCGCGGGTGTAATGTACGAGTGCCAATACATGTTTAACTGATAGGGGCTGGCACCGAAATTTTCTGTGATGCAAAGATGCCCAGAAAAACATGATGAACTCAGGGACACAACTCCGGCAACATGGCTTTGGAAGTGGATCGTGTGCGCCAAGCCATTGAACTTGCGGGGTAACCGAGGGTAGTTCTTCGCTCAGACGTCCAACGTTGCCTGTTCTGTCTGCAGATGGTGTAAGTCCCTTAATGAACTCATTGTCCTCGTGTGATTTCCATATCAAGAGCGCTGAATTGTTAGCATTCCAAAGCAGCGGTTTCACCGAGATAGCTAGCATATCACCTGGTGATTGCAGCTCAATCATTGCTACCGGGCTTGGACGACACAGAACAAGAACAAATGTTCACTCCATCAAAGACTCGTCATGTGTCGGGGGACGCAGGTTGATGCAACCTTCACAGATGAAGCACTGAAGGACAACAGGGACGAACTAAAGGCTTGGCTTGGTATGATAAATGACGAATTATGAGGGAACCGTGCGGGGAAAGCCGTGTCACGATCGGACTGGGTCCCATTCACATTCGTATGCCAAGAAGCACAGGTGGATAAAGCTTTCGGCGACACATTATGAATCCGGTATCACTGTTTAAAGAGCATGATGGGTTGCCAAGAAACATCGAGACACTGGCTGGTACCATGTCTCGGAGGGATAAGTTGAAATGGAGGGTAAGCTGCCGGACAACGAGTTAATTTAAGCAGCATGCTGACATGCACTTGGCGTATGCATGTTGGCAGGGTATGAGTCAAGAGAAAGCAACTCGATGGGAAAGCATCTTGGCAGAACCGCGGAGTCCTCCGATTAGGACTCGGACGGAAAGTTGTTATTTTGCGTACCAAGATCTCGATGCTCAGGTTGGTAAGCTTGATCAAGAGCTGTGATTATCAGCTTTTACCGACGTTTTTGACGAATGTGAGTAGTTTTATAGGCTTTACAGTGGCTAATCACTAGATGGCAGGCTATGTAGTGGACTGTCTGACTTTATAATGCGTGATCGAAGCTATTGAGTCTCTGGTTTTCGTTTATTAGACAGAAACCTATATTGCGCCTACCCCTATGGTTCAGTATCTTGGGACGATGAGCTTGTAGGTTTAAGTGTTACGTACTTTTAACTTGCAGATCTCTCTGAAGGTTCCTCGCTCCATTCTGGCTCAGGGCCTTTATCAATCTTCCGTTACTCTAAGTTCGTTGTCTTCTCACATTGTATGATGTTATTCAGGGGTAATCTCTTCACCAGTTACTCACCTGGTCCTTGCTTCTTTTATTGAGACTGCGTGATGCAGAGAGTGAGAAGTGGTGAGCGATGCTCGTAGGTACAGTCAGGACTCTCCTGTTGGTTGAAAATTAGCGTAAGCACTATCCGTTTACCAAAGTTGGGGGACGAAATCGTGTCCAAATAACTGTTTGTTGTAAACAGTTCATCACTCCATAACTAGCTTCCAATAAACCATGCGGTTCTGCCCTACGCTGCACCCAATAAACTGTCAATCAGGTATCTTCTACCACCAGCAAGGAAGTTGAGGATGTGCCGCTTGCTAGACACAATTCGAGGCAGAAAGAAGTGGCGTAGCGACCCGGAAACAGACTTCTCGGAGTGGTCACCATCACCTCTCCCGAGAGTCCTGCTCGGCGGTCCTGGCCTATCACGCCTACTACAACTACCACTGATACTACTGCCGAGAACCATGTCGTCACGCTCGGTATCTTCGCCCGGCTACCGCCGTAGCTGCGCCGACGCGTGATCGTGCCCGGCTTCGACGAGCGCACGCTCCAGCTAGACCTGCAGCTTGCCCCGCGCGGCGGTCAACGGGCAGAAGGCTCGATGATCTCTTCGACCACGCACGAGCGTGGCAACGGGGTGGCGCCCCTCAGCTGGCCCCGCGCGGTCGTGGCTCAAGAAGTTCCGAGCGAGACGACAACGTTTGAAATGTCTGCGAATTCCCAGACCGAAATAGAGTGGGAGTCGGTTGGCGTTGGTACAGCTGCGTGTGTCACTGTCTGCTTCCCAGCGGGCCTGCTTTCGAGCGCTGCGCCTTCACAGCCCGCGGCGTTTCCCCAAAGATCTAGTCGTACCGCGACGCATGCCTCCGTGGCGAGGCTATGATGTGCCAGACGTGGCCGTCAGGGCCCGCCATCGACAGCATGCAGGCCCAAGATACAGGCACATGCGACTCCGGAGTTGACGCCTTGAGTTGGCTCCGTGCGTGTCTGCAGGCCTACATCAAGGGCACCAAAATGCTGTACGCGACTAACACGTGCTTCCACGAGAGCCGGGACCTTGTGGACGCCCTGCCCAGTCCTTCCAGTTGCCATCCCCGCAACCCTGACGCCGGCTGGTGCCTGCTGCCCCCGCAGCGTGGCCTTGATAATATCTTTCGAGCTGGGGGGTATGCCTCTATAGTAGGCAATTGTTACGACAGGTGAACTTTAGGTAGGCAGGCAGGCATTCTACGACTATTCAGTACAGCTACGAACAGGAGCCATCTAGAACGAACTAGGCCCATAGTTGTTTGTCACGCTTGTTGTTGCCCATTGACTTGCAGCCTAAAGCTAACCGTGGTGAAGACGGCTGGGGCCTCGTCTCCTGTTTTTTGTATTAGTCTAAGTGAGCTCTCTGTTTCTTGTGCACTATATAGCTCCTCTACTAATTACACAGAGATCACCTCGTCGCCTTGTCGATTTGGATGGTTTCAAGCTGTCTGTAGTTCCTCTACAATGGGCATTGTGCATATGACTACACATGAGGGGACACAATGCAGCTTTGAAGTGCCAAGCTTCATCGGCGAAACAGCCATAGCATGCTTAAAAGCCTAGGTTTCGAGCAGTCTTTTAGACTCAACATGCGCTTTCATTTAACAGCAGACTGTCTTCATTTAGATATGATGATCACCTTGTCGTCCGGTTAGCATTCTCACATGATGACTTGCACCGCGCAGTCAAAATTTCAATATGATTATTTCAGTTGATTCTTTCAGGTTGCAACCTTATCTTTGCTATCTTCATTCCAGCATGATTTGTCTCACATGAAGCCATTGCGCATCTAGTTGCCCTTCTTGCTACCAGCTTTTGCCTATAGTTACATATTAGGATTTCATTTTGGCCAGCAGATTAACAAATACACTTACAGCCTTCTCGTTCGCTTTATTCTGCTTGATACCATCACCAATCTCACCCTGAAGGGCCTTGAGAGTTTTCTTATCAGCCGCAGTATTGCCGCCCTTAAGACTGGCGGTTTGCTTCGCCTCTTTAGCTTGCGCGCCTTGGACCTGGAGATGAACGGTTAATAACCATCTTACTTATCCAACTTCTCTATGTTAGCTTTGAAGAATGCCTCACCTTGTCCAGACCTTTAACGAGTGCAGTATTTTTCTTGTCGGCATTTTGTTGATTCTGTCCACGGACTTTCTGTCCCTCTTTGATATCGTTGCTAAGCTTGCCCTTGGCCTGATTGAAGTTCCCACCCTTTTCGGCCTTCGCTACAGCTTTGGTATCCTGCTTCTCCTGCTTCTGAATATTAATATTCTCCTTGATACCTTTGACCTCTTTCTGGGTGTTGCCTTTCCCCCCCCTTTGTTGCCGTTGGCCCGCGCGACGACAGATTCTACCGGCGCCGGCATAGGCAGAGCAATAGCGAAGGTGACAAAGAGGAAGAGAGAGAGGATGAGCTGAGAATACCGCATTTTGAGGGACTTTGTGAGTTTAGTGATGAATTTAAAATGAATAAAGAATTAGACGAAGAGGCGTTGATAGTGTGAATTGATGATGTGAAGAAAAGCTGGTCTGATGAGCATAAGGAGTGGGTGACTACAGTTCAACTATATAGCTGATTTCCTGAGCTTTGACTCAGTTCTAACATGGCCACTTGCGCGCCTCCATCTCAAACGGTTATGCACATGCACTTCGTTTGAGAGACATAGAAAGACCTGGGCACTGCGTGATGAAAATTCCCTTGAGTCCCCAGCTGCGATGCTTTTGGGGGTACGTCTTGCTGTTTGTTGAATGAAGCTCTGGGTGTGTCGCCCTCGACGGCCATGACACGCGCTTCTCTGTGTATCATCTGAAATCCGGAAGTGATTGACAAGTAACAAGCTTTTTGGTGGATACGAGACGAAGAAAGTTTAGCCGCAGTAGTGTTTTAGACTGAGCTTCTGCGCTGACTCTCACTTTTGCTACCCTCGTGGGGTGGGGCTGTCTAGTATTTCCATGGTGTGCCGAGGACCTCGTTTTCGCCGAGGCATAGTAGACCAATCAATATCATCGCAAGGAAAATCTAATCCAATCAAGAATTCAGTAGACCTGGTTTTCGGAGTAGAAGCGGATATCACAATGGGAATCCGAAAATGAGGTACATTGGCCGCCGATGGTACAGATAAGTTTTCTCAATGCATACCAACCAAAAGAAGTTCATATCCCGCGAAATCTTGTTGTCTCGGCCTCAGGCTGGCCATGGATCATGGGAATCGACAGCAAATGGTTTGATCTCCAGCGTCGATGCCTCTCACTACAGGCGCCAGTCACGATCCCAGGCCGAGAACGATAGTCCTTGGCCAGGACTACACGATCATAAGCTCTCGGCCTGGACTTGGCTTTTCGGCCCGGGCTTTTTCGTCTCGTTTTCGCCTTCTCTTTCACTTTCACTTTCACAGAGGTATCAGGTCTCTTTCGTGTTTTGCCGAATTCGGGATGCTTCAAGATCATCGCTAAGAGTCCAATCCTTGCCCGTTGGCCTCACGTCATATTGGCCATGACTCGCAAGAACGGCAGGTCGCTATTTACCCATCCTTTGAGCAGGTTCTCAGTGCCGGCTATGGTTCATCTACCAATCGCTTCAACGAACGCAACACACTTCAAGGTATCGTATTTGGTGACTTCACAAGATCAGTCAAGACGCCAAAACACATTGGACTCGCCCTCCGATGGCGGTATGACGTGGATCTACCCATGTTAAACGCAACCAGGCAGGATGAAATAGACATGGGTTGAATAAAGATGGATGCCACACCTACTAAGCATATCAATAGTGTCGCTCTAAGTTGAAAGTAAACCGAAGATGCCACGCTTCATCCCCATACCTTAAAACACCTAAATCACAGCGCACAACCCACCCGAGCTTTACAACACCCGCAAAAATCACACTTGGGAAGGTTGCTGGGTAGAGTCAAAGCGTTTGCACAGAGAAGGACGGCATGGTCTAGAACTGAACCAGTCCGACTACCCAAAACCGCCGCGTCTCAATTTCACTGGTGTGTTGATTGATTGACTGGGATGAACTCTGCATATAAGGGCTATCGAGTCAAAAGGTATCTCTTCCGCTATTCATCAGACTGTGGACGTCGCATAAGGCCTATGTCGCTCGTCTCTTAACAAGGTACCGCTGCACCATGTAGTCAAAAATCAAGCCCCGCAGCTGTCCTGTAGGAAAGTGGGCCCATCTGGTGTCTGAAAGCCTATAAACACGCCGCTGGCGGCCTTTTCAGCCCTGTCAGGCGTTGGGCCGGCCTCTAGCTCTTCTCTGCATTGCCGCTATACCCGAGGTAGGTGGAGGAAAAGAGAATTCAAGCTCTGGTTTAATGATTTGCACGAAACTTCTGACTAGTGCCTAAAATCTTAAGCTTCACTTTTAACATTGTTTTAGCCATGTTGGGCGACCAAGGTTGGGGACAAACATTCCCCATCAGATTTTATCGAAGGGGTAATTAGTGGAGAAAGTGAAAATCCAGAGTTGAGTACTTCGTGGCTTTACTCAGGGTATCCCATGGGTGGCCTACCGATCATCGTCCGATGGTTGAGTTCTCGGGCAGTTTACCCCAAGATCTTCGTCGTCCAAACGGTTCCGCCAAGAAGTCCACGACTAAGCAACTGCCAACGTTGTACCCTTCGATACAATCGTCGAACACCTCCGAGCGGTTGTCTCCCTATAGAGTGACACGTTCTGGTGTGCTGTTCTCACATTACACCCCACGACTAAAGTGCGCCATCGACCCATTCCTTATCCAGCTTATTCGTTGCCCTTGCACACGGGGAGTCGGCCTTTTTGTCGCTCCATAGCCAGTTTCAAGCGCGAGTTCATGGTTGAGGGCAAACCCAGCACGTGCCAGAGCTTATTGGCGACGTTGAGTCTCAGGATAACGGCGCAGCGAGTTCCCGCGTCTTGCTAATACGCAGCATAAATGTGCCGATCCGAGTAGAGTTTGAGGCTTACAAGCAGATCGATCACCTTACCGCTTTCGGCGTGACGCGCGGTCGGAAATGCCGCCGCAAAGGCAAGAATGCACCGGCCTTACTAGCCGATGCGGGGCCCTTACCTCACCCGACTAACACGCCCGGCTAACACGGCTCACCCGCTCGCCCGATCTCAGGGGCAGCGGGTGATCTGGCGCGCACTGAGCAACAGAGTATCAGGGATACTGGGAAGAGCTCCAAATCAGCAACCCAGCAGCGGAGTTACTAGTTAGATCAGACTAGGAAAGTAGGGCAATGTCGGCAATCAAGACGCTGAGCAGCCAAGAAGGATAAGCTAATTGTTGGCTCAAACAGTCGACGGTTTGGGCAGGTACCTGTCGGTTTACACTTGGGGGTCTACCGCCAACCCTGCTGTTTCACAAACATACAAGTGCATAAGCTGTCATATGGATGGCATTACAGGCAGTTACCGTTTGCACGCGGCAACATACCAACGTTTGACGACTCGACATGAGCACCGTAAGCGACCCATATTCCGTCTCCATGTGTTCTACATGGACCGGCCTGATTTACCTCAATACACTTCGGGCTCTGTTCGATGAACGCCTTACATCTGAAATCCGTCATCCTTGAACTCATAAGCTGTGCCGGTATCAAAGCGATCATAATAAAGATGCAGTGATTCCCGATGGCTCAAGCCTTCTACCGGTTGAGAGACACTGAAGATATGGCCGTATTTGTTCCGTCGGGGACCGGGAAGATGCCATATTTCCCAGGGGCGAGGTAGAGCTAAGAAGGACTCACGAAGTCGTTCTTTGTCTAAAACCGCGCTGGAAATTCTGGGCCTCTACTATTATATTTCGTTTATACAACCTACATTACCTTGTGCCGCATTCTCGCATTATCACGAAATTGACCATGACCAAAATGCAGTTGATGTCAACCAACAGGGCCATTTCCTGCTAAATGAGCCTTTTGAGCTCTTATCTGCCAAGAAATACGATGCTTTTATCATCTACTTGTTGATCTTGGCTGCTGTGCCGAGTTTTCCAGCACACAGCCCCGCGACTGCAACGCGTGCGCCCCACTTCCGCATTTTCGTTATGAATTCGATCCACCTCAGACTGAGAGGACAGAATGCAAGTTTTGCGACGTATTCAATACAACGAGCATGTCAAGATTTGGCAAGTCGTTTTTAGATGTTGCGTTTAATATCCTTTATCAACTCTCTAGACTTTAAAGTGACTCCAGTTCGTGTCTACATATAGCGTTTTTCTCTCCACGTCGTGGTATCTGCTGCTCTCTTCCTCTACTACCATATATAAAGATTTAACCTAGACTTTCACTTCTGAGAACTCCGAAGACAAGGATACGTTGCAGTCCAGAGCCCCTCCGGCGCACAATCGTCCAAGGATTTGGAGTCTCTACAGCAAATCCATTTCTGTTTTGCCTAGCAGTCTTCTTCTTATCTCTGCGAGAATCGCAGCTTGAGCCCTAGGACGGCAGTGGGTAAGCTTGGATGAATGCTTCCTAAAGCTATCGGCTTGATATACGTGTCTTCTGCGCATATTGTTCCCATATGTGCATCAACAGAAGCTCCGGCTCCGGATGTGGTCGAGTATTATCAGACAACTTTCGATGCAGACTTTACGGCCCTATCTGTTTACCGAGGCGAGCCATCGCCAAAACTTGACGCCGCTGGGGGCCGTATATTGGAAGCGTGTAGGGTGATCAGTTCTATAGAGAGCGGTGCGGTGCGGTGAACAACCACAACCTCCCTCTATAGCTACGCAAGATGCCTTTAGCCAGTCACGAATCAGCTGTCCTGATCAGGTCGAATCTGCCCTAGGTAGGCTTGGCCGCAGTGCGATAGGTAAAGTAGAGACTCCCAAAGTTCTTGTGTAGGAATGATCAGGGTCTTGGTCATCCCGAAAGACAGAAAGGATGCTCCCTTGGGCGCAGAAAAGTCTGATAAGTATATGTTAGTTGTCTGTGTCTGATCTGTGTCCCTCTATGTCATGGAGATTTCTATAACCTTGATCAGACTCTGCTTAGCTAAGAAATCAAAGAAACCAAACGCAAAGACCACCTCAAAGGGAGCAGGAAACCCTGCCCCGTTCGAATATCCACACAAGAAATAGGAAGCCATCGTATTCACGAAGGTGACTTGGTCCAACCTAACAAGTCAGATGTAGTTCACTTACGTTGACCCTTTTTCATCCCATTCACCTGAAAGCCTTCTTGGAGTGCCTTGCTGCTCACATCGACGCAGAGGTATCCTCCTTTCTCAAGCCACTGTCCCCTTCCCAATTAACCCTTCCCAATATCAGCGATCATTATGTTTGGTTTCAATTACGTGATGCACTTGTTATATAGGATTATTTCAGGTGATGATAGCGTACCGGAGTAGCTTGGCTGATTTCTTCGCAACAAATCTCATGGTAAACAATCGACACGTATTGTGCGCACCCTCCATCAACACACTTCCCAAGTTTTG